ATAAAATAGAGCCATTTTGTTTATTTTTTATAATAAAAAGGTCCCAATACTTTTTTTCTTAAATAAGGAAAAATATAAATAATGTAATGTTTTTTATAGTATTTTTAAATATAATAATACACCCATTATTGAAAGACCTTTTTGTGGTTGTTGATTTTGATGTTGTTGTTATTTTTGTTTGTGATTTTTTTGTAATTAAAGAATCAGGAATCAATAATATTAGTTTTTTTAAAAATATAAAATTTAAAAACAATTTGATAATACAATAGTTTTTAAATATAATACGATGTTGTAAATTGAGTTATTAATTTTTTTTTTTTTAAAAAAATAAATTAAAAATAAATTAGTTGTTGAGGTCAAAAATAATAATAATATTAATAAAAAAAAAAAATATCTTACTTCACAGGTTTCTGGAGTTTATATGTGAAAAATAGAATCAATATTTGTTATGTATGTGAATAGGTGTATGTGTGTGGGTGTGTGGGTGAAAAAAGTGATAGTGGTGTGGGTTTTATCATCATTTTAATTTTTTTTTAATTAAAAATTTTTTTTAATTTTTTTTTATTTACATTTTTTTTTTTTTTTTATGCCATAACAATAATTCATAAATCATTAATAATATAGAAAATATTTAATAATTTAGATTATAATTAGGATTGACCCATTATATATAACGATTTTTCAAAATATATACTTTTTTTTTTATTCCATTATATAATTTAAATTTAGTTTTAAATGTTTTAGAAATTTAATTTTTAAAAGTAATTTATATTTTTTTTTTTTTTTTTGTTTATTTTATTAAATATATATATGTATAATATAAAATATATTGGTTCTTCAAATATTTTATTTATAATAATAATAAAAAAAATCAATCATTTATAATAAATATCATTCAAAGTAACACATTATCCAAATAATTTAATAATTATAATAAATAATTCATTTATATAATTTTGTGTAGATAATTATAAGAGTATAGTATATTCAAACAATTGAAATATCATTTAAATACTAATAATAGGATTAATGATAAAATATATATAATAGTTTTTAAAAAAAAAACGCTTATAAACCTCTTTTTTGTGTCATAAACATACAAATAAATAAAAAAAATATTATATACACACAAAAGATAGTCACCCCCACATATTCTAATTTCACTCGTTCTACCCCAACACTAATTCTCAAAAATTACCTCAGTTTAATATTTAGCTTAAAACATACATATTTTATTTAAATATATTTAATATTAAAATAATAAATTTTAATCAACTTTTGTTTTTTCACACTCATAGTTTTAATATAGTTTATTTTAATTAATTTTTATTTTTTTTTATTTTTTTTTTTTTATCATTTTATTTTAAAAAATTTGACATAACACCATATCATCTACCCCATCACCTAAATTAAAAAAAAAATTAAAAAAAAAATTAAAAATAAAAATATAAAAAAAAAAAAAAAAGATTTAACTTCTATAAACAACAACAATAATAATTATAAAAACACAACAAAAACAAAAAAAAATAACAAATAAAAGCAAAATAAATCCAATTTTGTGTTTTTTTTTTTTTATAATTAAATATTTTTAATTTTTTTCTTTTTTGATATATATTTAATTATATTTAAAACAACCAAAATTAAAATATAATATTTGAATATTAAAAAAAGAAAGTAGATTAAAAAAAAAAAAAAAAAAAAACAAAACAAAACAAAACAATAAATGTTATTTTTTTATCTTTTTATTTTTTTATTTTATTTTTTTAATAAATCAATTCACATATTATAATCACTCACACAATATCCAGTCAAGTCTTTATTTATAATTTATTTCTTTGTTTAATTAATTTTTTTTTTTAAAAAAATCAAAATTTTTAAAAAATTTGATCGATCAAATTAATTTTGATTTTTATTAATATATTTAGGTTTACACAGAAAATTGTCAAAAAATAATAATTCCCAAATTTATAATAAATTCATGTATTAAAAAGAATAAATAAAATAAAATAAAATAAAATAACCAAATCAAATAAATAAAAAAAATAAACCAATTGAAATAATAATAATTTGTATAAATAGTATATATCAATAAAACTGTAAAATTAATTAAATCTTAACCTTTGTATAATAGTCTTTGTAATAATAATATATAGTAATAGCATTGTAATAGTATATAGTAATATATTAAATTCATTATAAATCAAATGGATTATAATAGTTATAAATTAAAAAATATTAATAGTTTGTCAGTATCACAACCATCATCAGCATTTCAATTAAATACATTAGGAAATAGTACTGGAATACCCAATAATAATAATAACAACAACAACAGTAACAATAATAATAACAATAATAACAATAACAATGGTAATAGTCAATTTTTATCAAGACAACATACATTAAATTATTTTTTAAATAAAAAAAAGAAATCATTTTTTGAAAGGCATCAAAAAGTTTTTAACAAATTTTTACCACCAAGATTGAAGCCCGCAATTTACAGAAGATGTTGTGTATTGTTAATTGAATGTTTTTTATATTTTTTGGGATATATGCTTTTGGTAATATTTTTTAGGGACTTTTTTCCAATATTCATCTGTGGAATGGTAGCGATGATAGCAATATATATTATGGGAACTTTAACAATCAAGTATAAACTAGTCAGTTTAATTTATGTTACAGTCCAATCGATTTTAAATTTTGCGCTATTAATTTATTTTGTAAATTTTTTTTCAAATACAAAATCATCAAATCCATCAGTATTAGAGCCCTCAGAATCTTTGAATTATACAAAACATAATTTTTTATTTTTAATAAATATAATTTTATGTTTAATCAGCATCACAATATTTTTTCCAAAATATTTATTTTCAATTTCGTTATTGATAATTTTAAATATTATTAATATAATAATACACATTGTAGTCCTATCCATTTTTAATTTACCAAGTTTTTTTGTAAGTAGTTTTAAAATTATTAAAATCTATTTTTATATTCCATAATATTAATTTTTTTTTTTAGATTTTCCAAAATTTATTAGTAACAATAACAATTTCAATTTTATTATTTATTTATCAACTAGTTATTTATAAAAACGAGAAAGATATAGAAGCTAAAGAAAAAAGATTCAGAAATATATTCGATACTAGTTCCGAAGCTTTGGTTATTCATAGAAATGGAATAATAATGGATGTAAATAGTACTTTTGAAAAAATGTTTGAAGTAGAGGCTGATGACTTATTAAACCCAGTACCTTGTGCAATTTGGGAATTATTACCTGAAATGGAGTCTTATTTCCAAAGTAGTAATAGAATAAAGGATACACTTAGAAATAGTAATAATACTAATAGTAACAACAATAACAACAATAATAGTAGCATTTTAAATAATAGCAATGTTTTAAATATAAATAATTTAAATTTTTTAAATAATTTAAATAACCCAACAAATAATATAACAAATGGTGGTAATAATAGCACATTAAATAGCAATAATAATAGTATAAACAATAGTAGATCAAATAGTTTTATAATGAATGGTAACAATATGATTGGTGGTGGCATAAACATTGAAACAAATAGTGGTATAGGTAATAGAATGATAACTAGAACAAGTAGATCAAATACAGGTTTATCAGATAATAGTAGTATATTTGATGATAGTGATAGTGTCGATTTCTTTTCACTAAAGAATATAAATAAGCAACCAATTGTTTTTGATACAATAGGAATTAAACCATGTGGCGCAGAGTTTACAGTTCAAGTCAAAATAGAAAATAAATATGATAAAGTTTCTTCAAGTGATTTCGATGTAGTTTCAATTATCGATACGACTGCTAGAAAGAAGTTAATAATTGCAGATCAACAACTAAGAAGAGCAGAGGAAATAAATGATGCTAAGATTAGATTTCTTACAACTGTTTCACACGAAGTTAGAACTCCAATAAGTGGTATATTATCATCTGTTGGTATTCTCGATGAAAGTTTGGTAGATTCAAATCAAAGAGAGTATTTAGGTTTCATCAAAGATTCAGCCGATTATCTCTTGGATTTAATTACTGATATTTTAGATTTTTCTAAAATAGAAGCTGGAAAAATGGAATTGGAGCGTGTAGAATTTAATCTATTAAAAATGTTAGAAGACAGTATAAATATAGTCTATAGAAATGCACATGACCGTGGAATTAATGTTATACACTTTGTAGAGCCAGATGTTCCTATATTTTTAATTGGAGACTCACATAGAATCAAGCAGGTATTATTAAACTATTTGTCGAATGCCATTAAATTCACATCTAAAGGCCAAGTAATGGTTAAAGTTTCATTGGTAGAAAAAACAAACGAAGGAATAAAAGTAATGTTTTCTGTTGAAGATAGTGGTGTCGGTATCAAGGACGAGTTTCAAGAGCAATTGTTCCAACCATTTCATCAAGTTGGATCACTTAGACAATATTTGGGTACTGGTTTAGGTTTATCAATTTCCAAAAGATTAACTGCAATGATGGGTGGTGAGGTTGGCTTTAGAAGTACATTTGGGGTTGGCTCCACTTTTTACTTTACATCATTATTTCAAATAAATCCAAATTCATTACTTCCATTAGGCACTATGGGTTCAATTTTATCAACTACTTTATTAAATAAAATGGACAGTATCAATTTATTTCAAAAAATTAATGGTTTCATATATGATGATAATATAAATGTATCAAAATCAATTTCAAATTTCCTAAATTTATTATCAATTCAATTAAAGGTTATTAATCCATCAAATGACAACAATCTGAAATTTGAATTAACAAATTTTTTAAATAATTTAATTGATACTCAAAATAACAAATTAAACAATCAAGAAATACTTTCCGATGAAGATGATGAGGAACACTTTGATCAAAAGCAAAGAGATGGCCAAAAGGAAGAGGAGGAGGAGGAATATACCATCATTATTACAAATTCATTATCAAATGAAAATTTAAATCACTTTAAAGAAAAATATAAATTGATCCCAAATACTCAAAATATTTATTGGTTTTGTTTAAATGATAATAGTTTACAAGTAATAGATCCATTTTATGATGGAATTGTAAAGAAACCATGCAATTTTCCAAATATTGTTGAAACCATATTTAAAGTTTTTAATCAAGTACTTCAAATTGACCATTACTATGTTTTAACAAATAGATCCAAAGAAGATTATAGACTATACTGTAAACAAAGAAAAGAAAATGATTTTAAAAATAACAATAATAATGTAAATATAAATAATAGTAATAATACATTAAATATTAGTGGTGGCTCCCAAAATTTAAATAGTTCAGGTGGAAATACTCGTCACAGAAACAAATTCAATAACTCAAAGATGAGTCCATTAAATAGAACAAAACAGGTTTTTGTACGCAAAAATACAAATGGAATATATAGTGATCATGTACCAATTACAAGAGGTTTAATTCAAGATGTTTCTCCAAGACTATCATCATCACCAGTAAGTTTGGCAATACCACAAATCAATATTAATAACAAGGGTAATAGAAACATTTCCCCCAGACTAAATGGCTCATCATCCAATACTCCTATTAGCACAAGTGCAGTTGTAACTCCAACATTCCAATCAACATCATCAAATGGAGTTTTAGTTTCAAATATAAATATAAATATAAACGGTAGCGGGTTTTTTAGTGGGGCAGAATGTATTAGTTCAAGTATTTCACCCTCAATTCAAAATTCTAATGGTTGTTTTTCACCAACAAGTGGTACAGCATCACCCACAATCATTAGCACATCACCCGAATTAAAATCTATATCAAATGATCCAAATGATTTAAACAACAGTGTAAATAACAATAATAGTGTAAATAACAATATAAACAATAGCAATAATAATATAATTGTTAAAAGACAAATATCAACTGAATCAATTAAAAAAGAAAATGGTACACCAAACACTGCATCAACGAAAACACAAGCAATTATACCTCCTTTAGATATTCAATCAAACTCTATTTTATCAGCATTAAGATTTGCAGATAGTTCTGATGGAAGTAATAACAATAGCCCAAATATAGTTCCAATTGATAGAAATCAATATAAAATTTTATTAGTTGATGATAATATTGTAAATATTAAAATATTTTCAAAGTACATTAAGGATGGGGGTTATCAACATGATATAGCCATGGACGGTAACCAAGCAATAGAAGCAACTAAAAAGAATTACTATCCAATCATTTTTATGGATTGTCATATGGACCCTATGGACGGATATCAAGCTACTGAAATTATCAGAAAATTCGAAAAATCATTAGTAAATTGCCACGGTAAAATTCATTATAAAAAATCAACCATTATAGCACTCACAGCATTGGACTTGGGTGGAATGTCAAGTGGTAAAGATAAATGTTTAGATATTGGTATGGATGATTTCTTACAAAAACCAATTAAACCAAAAACTATAATAGATACAATAGAAAAGCATATAAAGAAATTTAATATCAATGATATCGAATATGGTTTACTTAGCCTTAAAGAATGGAAGCTTGATGTAGATGTTTAGAACAGATAATAAATAAATAAAAAAAAATTTAAAAATAATATTAATAAAATTATAATTTTTAGTTTCCTTTTTTATTTACTTTATTTTAATTTTTTTTAACAATTTAAAAGTTTTTTTTTTATAACAATAAAAGTTTTTTTTTTTTAAAAAATTAATTGTTTTAATTCAAAAACAATTAATATTATAAATACAATATTTATTTATTTTAATTTTTTTAATTTTTTTTTATTTATCTATCAATGGTTTGAACTTTTTCTGAAAAAGAAATACGTTTGGATGATGAAATTGGTAGTTTTTTCTTTCTTAAAATACGTAATTCTTCTGATTCAGTGTCGGAAATTGTATCTTCAGATTCTAAACGTCTATGAACTTTTTTAAATCCATCAATATTCTTGATTTTGTGTAAATCATTACCATCAAAAGTATCATCTTGATTTATTTCTTCTTCCTCTTCTTCTTCGCTATAGCTGATATTACTGTTTTCATCATAATCTTCTTCCAATTGATCTTGATCTTGTTGATCTTGTTCAAATTCTTCACCATTAATATTTAAATTATTATTAAATTTAACTTCTAATTTACATGATTCATTATTATTACTATTATTACTAAAAACTGGACTATTAATACTATTTAAATTACTAGATTGATCACCGTCTTCGTCCTCTGAAATAATTGAAAGATCACTTAATTGATCTTCATCTTTAATTAATTGATGTTGTAAACAAGAACGTAAATCTTCCATCCAATCAATTTTTTCGTTATGACTTTCGGCTAATAATGTTAAACAGAAATCATTTGTTTCTATTTCAAATGAATATTTTGGTTCACTACTGTTGCTATTTGGAGTGTTACCACTTCTGTTGCTATTACTATTATTACTATTACTATTACATGATTTTCTTAAATATTGATCTTCATCTCCACTTGTAAATTCACCACCGCTACCAATATTACCATTAATACTGCTATTTTCATCTATACACTCTTCATCTTCTGATAAAATATCACTAACATCGACAACTTGATCTAAATAGAAAATTTCTTTAAATTTGAATTCTTTTCCAGTTTCTTCTGATGGTTTATATTTTACATATAATAAAATATCGCTAAATAAAAAGAAATAGCTATCTTTTTTGAAAGTATCTTCAATTTCTAAAAATCCTTCTCTAATATAGGTTCTTTCTTTATCCATTAAATTCTATATAAAAATATAAAAAATAATTAATATTTAAATAATTATATTTTAGTTTATATAAAATACTTACAAAAGGTATTTGTGAAATTGATTCTTGAATCGAAGATATTTTTCTTTTATTTTCAACAACCATTTTTGATTCATTGACATGATCAGCAACTCTTTTGATATTTTCTTTAGCATTGATAAGCATTTGATAATCTGGGTGGTTCATTGGAGTGTATTTAATAAGCTCTTTCAATAATAGGAGATAACGTGGAATTCTCTGAATTGGCATAATTAAATATGAATATAAATCCAAACCATTATTACTATCTTGGAAAATTTCAAATGTGTTTACAATTTCATCAAATATTGAGTTACCTTTTCTTAATCTTTTGATTCTTTGATATGAGTTGTCATAGTTGTTAATATAATTTGCATAGTTGTCTTTTAAAAATTCACACTAAATTAAAATAAAGACGAAAATATTAATATTTATTATTTAACAACCATATATATTGAAGTTTTATATTTACCTTTTCTAAAAATAAATCACCAATTGTAATATTTGAATTAAAAACTATATTTGTTAAATTTTCAATATCATTATTTAATTGTAACTTGGACTTGAACTCGTTTAATAGGCTTACATGTGAACGTAATAAAATTTCCCAATTACCAAATATTGAAAATATTTCATCCTTTGTTAAAATTGGATTTAAAGTATCTAAAGAATTATGAAGTGGTATGATTAAAGAGTTGTAAACTGTACCAAGTGATTTTACATAGGATTGCTCAGTTGAAATAATTTCTTCTATTACTTTTTGACGACGGGTATCCATTGGAATTGATTTAAACAAGTGATCACGATCAAAATGATCTCTGATTAATCTGACTACTTTACAAATTGAACTACAATCGCCATTGAATAGATCATGTGGTGATAACTCTGAAACACTGTGGACTGAATTGTCACGGAGGAAATTTAAAAGTAAGCAAATATTTTGCATGAAGTGCCATGGTAATACTGGTTCTTTTGTGAATATACCAACTTTTTGCTGGGTAATTTCTTCGAGCAAGGTTAATAATGTTACACCATTACACAAATCTGAACCTATATCTCTAACTTGTAAGTGATGGTAGGCTTTCAAATGGCCATTGATCCAATCCATTAAATCTTGTGCGTCTTCAATCTGTGACTGGGTGACTGTTGATGTAGTATTACCAAATCTAGAGTGAATAATGGAAGAGTATAACTTTAATGGTGAGTTTGTATGATTTAATCCTGAATCTTTTTTAATTGATGGTAATTTCAAATGGCTATGGAATTTTGATACATGATTTGCTAAAACGTGAATATTTGATATTACCAAATTAATGTTCTTTTCTTCAAATAAATCTGGTGTGTCAAATAAATCTGTTTTCTTTAAGCCAACTGCTAAACAACCATTTAAATAATGTCCAATATTTTCCATCTTTTTAAAACTTGAATTACCATTATTTATAAATAAAATTGTTTTGGGTATTATAATATTTATAATTCTAAAAATGGGGATAAAAAAAAAAAAAATGTAAATTAATAATTTATAAAAAATAAATAAATAGAAAATTAATGATCACTTACTTGCATAATAAAATACCATCTTTTAAAGATGAAGCAAATGGTAATTTAAATTTCTCATTTGTAACCTCTTCAATCCAATCTTGAGCAGATTTTTGTAACTCTGGTGAATATTTAAATGCCTCTTTGGTACGAATATCACTATTTAAAGAACTAACAGCTGGTATTTTAACAGATTTTCTCCATTTTGCCTTCTTTTGGCCATTTGTTGATTTACTTAATACATTTGATGAACTATTTGAAATTGTAGAGGGTGGTGAAATATTATTTCTATTTGGTGATAAGGAATTGTTTAAACTATTATTATTATTGCTATTGATACTATTATTGGCAGAGAATAGAGGTGATACGGGCGTAGTTGTAATTTTGATATTCTTTTTTTCACCAGCTAAATGTATACCAGTATAGGTTTCTATTTTAGCAGCGTGTTTACCTAAAACTACAATATTTCTAATTACTAATGTTATATCTTTATTTTCAAAGAGATCGATGGAGTTGAAAAGATTAACACTTTGCAAACCTAAATGGGTGCATGCTTTTAAATAGTTTTCGATATTTTCTAATTGCTTGAATGATATTGTGCTTTCGTTGATCTTTTTTACAACACCAGGTTTTAATTTATTGACTAATTTACATAATAATACACCAGATTTAAAGTGTTCAAAGAATGATACCTCTGGATCTAATTCACCGATTTCCAATACGTCACTAACCCATTTACGTGCAGTTTGTTCTAATGTTGGGTCGTACTTTTGCTTCTTTTTATTTTCAACATCATCTGTTAAATTTGTGCATGATGGTTTCATTTGTAATGATGTTATTACACCTTGATGCTGGGTTGTTAAAAAACTTGATGAACTGATACCACTAAATGATGAAGAAGGTGAAATTGTAAATGAATTATTTGAAGAGTTACGTAATGATGGTGGAGATGAGTTTGATGGTGATGTTAAAAAATTATCTTCATTTTTAAATGGGCTGTTTAATATATTATTGGTGGTATTAATACTACCATTACTATTATTTAATTGAATTGATTTAGGTAATGAATTGCTTGTTGGTTTGTCATCCTGTGTTTGTTTATTATTAGTAGTACTATTATTACCATTACTATTGCTCTTACTACTTTGCTGAGTTGCAATGGTATTTCTCTTTGATGAACTACCAAAAAAATTTGAAAACATTTATATATTAATCTATTTTTAAAATTTAAAAAATTTTAAAATTATTTTATAAAAAAATAATAATAATTTTTTATTAATTTATATATATATAGATGTGTGTGTGTATGTATATGTATATGTATATGTATATAAATATTATTTTAATAATTTTATTTTATAGTTATGTTTTTTATTACTATTTATATTATTAATAATATTCAAATTTATTATTGTTATCTAACTGTTAAAACCCTGTCCTTTTTTTTTTTATTTTTTAAATTTTATTTTTTAATTATTTTTTTTTTTTTTTCTTTTTTTATTTTTTTTTAATTTTTTTTTTATTAATCACACATTTTATGTGAAAATATTGTAAAAAAAAAAAAAAGCCAGTTTATAGGTTATCCAAAAAAAAAAAAATAAAAAAATAAAATATTGTTATTTTTGGATATTCCTTCAAATAAAAAAAAAATATGGTTGAGATCTATTTATTTATAGATAATTACAAAAACAAATATTTATTAAATAAAAAAGATATAAATAGTTAAATTTATAAATTTTAATTTTTATGAATTTCACTATTATTAAAAATTTGATCACTGCTATTTTCATTAATATTATTATCAGTGTTATTATCAGTGCTATTATTATTATTAATATTTTTATTATTATTATTTTTATATTTATTATTATATATAAAATTATTTGAAGAATTGATTCTATCTCTTTTATTTTGATGTGGGCATGATTCATTATTTAAATAGTTTGTTTCAGTTAAAATTTTATTGGTTCTAGGGTCTATTACTTTGATAAAAGCATTGCAACCTGGATTTATATAGATTGAATATATATCCCTTCCATAATACTTTGGATATACAATAGTGTCATTTAACATTCTATAGGTTGCTATATCACCATAAAAAATTTCTAAAGGTTTGGTTTTCATTTCATAATCAAATAAAAAACAACCTCTTACAAACATATCACCTCCTTGATTTGGGATAAACTCGTTGAAAAATGAAATTTCTGGTTGAAAACGAATAACTTCACCACCATTGAATGACTGATCATATAATCTGCTTTTGAATAGATGAGGATAGAAAAAATTGTGGCCATCGTCATAGATGGTTTGGTAAGAGTATCTATAGTTATTTAAGATGCTTTTGAAAGTAACGATTGAATCTTTGTCACAATCTATAATAATATTTGGACTTACCCCCCTCATTGGAAAACATTTTGCATTTGCAAAATTATGATAGTTATCGGCATTACTGAAGAAGAGTGATTGTCCAACAACTAATACAAATACAAAAATAACAATAAAGATATTTTTGCACAAAGGGAAAATAATATTAAAATAATTCATTATTTTTTTTACTATTTTTTTGTTTTTTTTTATAATAATTTTAAAATAAATGTTTTTATTGCTATTGTAATATTAAATTTTTATAAACAAACCAAAAAATAATATGAATAATTTCTAAATATGTTAAATATATTTTAAAATTTAAAAAATAATTGATATTGGCTGAAGAAAATATATTAGGAAATTGAGGTAAAGAGTATTAAATTCTTGTAATTAGAATTATATAATATTCTTTCTTTCAAATGAAATTGACTTTTTAATATATGCAATTAAATAATTTTCTGTATCCAATTTATATTATTTTCTTTTTTTGTGAAAATAATTAAAAAATAAATAAATAAATAAAATAAAAAAAATGAATGTTGTTTTTTTGGTCAAATTTTTAAAATATTGGATCTAAAATTATCTGCTTTTAATTTATACTTTTTCAATTCGAATAAATATTATTATTAAATATCACTCATTTAAAGAAGATGTGAAGGTTAGTATCATATAAAATTATTTTTATCTTTAAAGATTCAAGTTAATTTAAATTTAATTTTTAATTTAATTTTAATTTTTTTTATTTTGTTTTATTTCTTTTTTTTTTTTCTTTATGAAAATTAAAAATTCATTATTTAAATAAAATAATATTTAAATTAAACCTTCTTTAAACACAACATTAAAAATAAAGAAAAAATATGAATACTATCTCTAAATGAATAGATGATTATTTTTTTTAATATGACTGGGATTCCATTATATAAACTTTTTTATATTTTTTTTTATTTTCAATTCGAAACCCATTACCATTATTAATAATACTACAAACTTATATTTAACCCAAAATGTATAACACACACAAACACACACACACACACACACACACACTTAAAAAAGCAAAAAACATATAACCACACTTATTTTATAAATATTCGTGCAAAAATTTAAAAAAAAAAAAAAATAAATAAATATTTTCATATTATTTTTCATCTATCGTATTCTGTTATGTGATAAATTTAATTTATTAAAAATATCATTCACTCGCTGAAAATATTCCAATTTCCATTTATATATATATACCCTTAATTATTAATTTTAATTTTAAATAATTAAATTTAATATCATATTAGATTTATACTAATATTAAAAAAAAATAAAAAAAATATTGTAATACAAGTACATTTTTTAAATTGTATTATATTCTTTTCTTTTCTTTTCTTTTTCTTTTTCTTTTTCTTTTTCTATTTCTATTTTTTTCTTTAATAATTTTTTTTTTTTTTTTATAATTTATAATAAATATTTTATTTAATTTTTAAATTGTAATATTTAAATTCTTTTATTATTTTTTTATTCTTCCATTTCTCCATTTTCTTCATCGTCTTCGTCAATTTCGGCTGGTAAAATGTTAAGTTTGAGGTCATGTTCTTGATCACAACCATTGTATGAGTCTGATATTAAATAAAGTGTTAAATTATGTTTACCGACTGATGGAGTGGCGAAATCCAATTTAACTTTAGTTTTCTTTGTAAATGTAATTCTTTTAATGGCATGGAGTTGGTTAGTTTTAGAATCACCAACAAGTACCCACCAACCACCAATCTTTTCTTTTGGATAAAATGGAGCATTAACGATATTGATAGCATCGCTGACATTTTCTTCGTCGATATCTCTTTCTAAAATAACTTCTACAGACATTACTGAATCGGCATGAAGGTCATCTTCGTCGATGACATTGTAAGAGATATCAATATCTGGGTATTTCATAAATGCTTGAATTAAATCTTCGGTTTCACCTGCATCCATTTTGAGTAATTGAGTACGATCGTTATCTTCTAATGACATTAAATCGAAAATTGATTCGATACCATTGGTAGTACATGCCTCAATTCTTTCTTTAGTAAAGTGTGGTAATTGTTTTAATACGTTATCGCCATCCCACATAGCTTGAGTGATCATTTGTGAGAGCTCCATTGCAGCGATGGCTGGATGTAACCAACTATTACTACTAATAACATCTACAATAGCTTGGAGTAAACGTGTTGAGTTTTCTAAAACAAACTTTTGATCTTGATATAAATCTGCACTAATTGGTTTTCTTGAGAAATGAGCTTGAAGTAATACATTAACTTTGGTTGCGATTTGAGCAAAATCTGGTTTATCAATTTTTAATGGTAAGTGTGATGCCATTTTACTAATGATTTGTTCTTCACGATGACGGATTGGAATGACATTGAATTCTGGTGAATTTGAAAGAATATCGATAATACCTTTACGTTTAGTTGATGCTTTTAATGATGATCCAAAAAGTTCAATGGTTTGATATTTCAAATAATAATAACTTGCAATAATACCTAAATTTAATGGTGAAACCTTATCTTCCTCGTCATTAGTTGATATACAGTTGGATTGTTCTAAATCTGCTAATGTGTTTTCGACCAACTCTGATAAATGTTCAGAGAGATGGATATGGGTGACACCTGAAAGATTATAATAATTTGGATTTTGATTAAGACGACGGTACAAGAAAGTCCATGTGAGATAGTCGAGTGCATCTTGTTTCTTTGTAATGGTTTTGGTGACAATTTCAGAATTGAATGGATCGTGTAAACAATGGTCTAAATGTGATTCGACTGGGATTGGTTCGTTTAAGAACATTTTGTAATACTCTTTCTTTGGAGTGTGACAGAGTAATAAGCATTTAGCACTGTTGTATATATTTTGTTTTCCAGCACGACCAACCATTTGAAGTATATCATTGATAGAGTAATCAACGTATCTAATATCTTTACCTAAATAAGTTTGAGTACCCATAATTACAACCAATGATGCATAGACATCCAATAACCAGCAAACGGAATGGGTTGCAATTAATACACGGATTGAACCACTCTTGAATAAAATTTCGACCACTCTTTTCTCTGGCTCGGTAAGACCATCATGATAGAGTGCAATACCCCATTGAAGCGATTGTTTTAATATGGTTGATTCGATTCTCTCTAAATATGGTGCTAAATCTTCTTCGCTACAAACTAAATATGGTCTACGAAGGGCATCTTCTTCAGAATCAACATGGGCGATTAAATCCTTGGCTAATGATCTACAAAGCTTACGAGTTGGTACAAAAATGATAGATTGACCCTTTTTATTACGAGATACTTCATAAATGGTTGGTTTGGTCATAGCAAGCATTCTTGCATTAAAGTGTGGGAAATCAAAACCTTGAACAGAGAATTCTAAATTAATTGGACGTACATTTGGATGGAAATTGAAGCAGGTTTGTGGTGTTGCACCAATCCATAAAACTAAATCACGGGCATTTGCAATCGATGAACTTAATGCAACAATACGAAGTGGATTACCAGTTTGTGTGCTAATATAACGCATTCTAGATACAACGATTTCCATAGTTGGACCATGGTCACCTCCAATTAAATGGAGTTCATCTACAATTAATAATTGAATTGATTGGATTGCTTTTCTTTGTTTCCATCTACGTGAAAGAATATCCCATTTTTCACAACTTGTAACAATTATATTGGAACGATCTAAAATCTTATTATCTGTAACTGAATCACCTGTAAGATCTGAAATGACTAAACCAAATGTTTTGGTGAATTTATTTGTCCAATCTCTTAAACGAACAGAGGCTAAATCTTGCATTGGAGCTAAATATACAATTTTTGATTTTGGTTGTTGTTGAATTTGTCTAATGATTGCAATTTCAGCGCAAACAGTCTTACCACTGTTGGTTGGAGCAGAGATAAAAGCATTGTCATTGGTTTGATACATACAGTTGAAAACTTGGGTTTGAATTGAATTGAAAATTCTAAAGGTTGGTCTGAATATGGATTCAGCTTTTGGATCTTTTAATATTTCAATTGGTAATGGTTGTAAATCTAATAATGAACGGCATGGTGGGTATTTCTCTGGTAAAATTAAATGTCTGAAACTGATTGGAAGAGAATATTCAGCACCAATCCAATGGTCTGCAAGTACTCTAACATAATATTGTGGTGGTAATGGAGTGGTAAGTGGAACTGTAAAACTGACAACTTGATCTTCACCATTAACCATCTTTTCTTTTAAGCTAAAGAATTCATAGTATAAAATCTTTTCACCATCGACATCTTCAACGATAATCCACCAACCAATACTGTTGTTATGGTAATCTTTATTGAAATTGAAATCTGGTGTAATAGACAACTCGACACGTAAAAGACCATGGAGAATTGGTTGAACATGAGCAGTAAGATCGAGTTTTGGGAAACTATGAATTAAATTAAATAACTTGATACCCTCGGATGGGTTTTGGATTGCACTACCTAATTGTTGAGAGTTATATTCATAGAGATCTTCGATAGGAATTGATCTTCTTTCGAGTTGATTTAAAATCTTTGGTGATATCTTGTGGAACTGTCTGAGTGGTGATTGAGATGACCACATTTGGTTATCGATCATTTTAGCAAGATTTAAAATCTTTTTAGCCAATTGAGCCCAACCTTTCTTTAATACAATTTCGAATAAGGCTCTAGTGATACGGGATGCACTTTGAGCAATATAAAACATATCAACAATTAAAGCAAAACCTTCTAATTTCAAATTGGATATATAAGTTTGAAGCAATACATTAATCTTTGAAGATGGTTCGTCAATGTTCTCTTTGATTGGAATTGGTACACGCTCTAAAAGTTTCTCTAATTCGAATTTTTCACCCTCTCTAACTACTACATTCTTAAATTCAGAGGACAATGAAAATACTCTAAGTAATTCGATATCGCTCATTGATGGTTTTAAGTGCTCTTGATAGATGCTCATTGAGGCATTGGTGATATAGAAATGACTTGCAACTTTACCCAATTCAGTGGCTTGAAGATTACCAGACTTTCTATCATATTTAATTAATGAGTTCTTTTCTAAAATAGTGGCAGCTGAATGAATTAAATCAGTTCTTCTTTGTTCTAAATGTGGATCGGCTTCGATATCGTCATATGAGATTTCGTAAAGTGGTGGATTTCTTAACATACAAATAAATAAATAGGTATAACCTAACCAATGAACTGCATCATTAACATTTTGAATTGAACCTAAAACGATTTCAGCATTTAAATTATCAGAGAGACGACTAATGAATTGACTTTCAATGGAGAGTTGGGTATTTAATAAAGAGAGATAAAATTGTAATTCTTGTTGACTTGTAATAATAATACCTTCACCCTCTTTATCGAATGGAGGACGACCAGCACGACCTAACATTTGGGTCATATCTAATGGAGATAATTCGCACCAACCTTTTTCTGGATTATATACTCTGGTTCCTTTAATGATAACGGTATGAGCTGGTAAATTGACACCCCAAGCTAAAGTGGCAGTGGAAATTAAAACTTGGACTCTTTGATCACGGAATAAATCTTCGACGATATCACGATCACTTCTTGCAAGACCAGCATGATGTATACCAATACCATAAGGCAAAAGCTCTTTTAATGTGGCGTCTTTGACATCCTTTGAAGACTCTCTTAAAATTTCACGAGTTTCTGGATTCTTTAAAAGACGATCGGTTAATTTATCTTCGACAGCTCTATCACGAATATCTTTACCAGTTTTACCAGTTTCTCTTCTAGAGTGTACAAATATTAAAATTTGATGTTCGCCTGCTCTTTCTGATACTTTTCTATAGGTGATATCGTTGAGTAACTGTAATTGCTTAATGCCTTTATCACTAATACCAATGTATTGTTGCTCTAATGGAATTGGACGGTATGATTGATCAAAATAAAATACACCCTCTGGCTCGACACGTAAAAATGTAGCAACATCCTCATAGTTTGGAAGAGTAGCAGATAAACCAACCAAACGCACCATCTCTTGAGTATGTTCGATCATTCTAAGAGTTCTAGCAACTATACACTCTAAGACTGGACCTCTTTCATCATGAAGTAAATGAATTTCATCAATAATTACCAAACGTACTAATTGAGTGTAGGCACGATCACCAGACTTTCTGGTAATAATATCCCACTTCTCTGGTGTGGTTACAATGATTTGGGTTTCTGAGATTTGCTTGTTGGTTAATGATTGATCACCAGTTAACTCTTTGACTACGATTCCATAAGGTTGTAAACGTTCACTAAAATTAACTACCATTTCTTGAACTAAAGACTTCATTGGAGCAATATAGACAATTTTGAAACTATCACGATCTAAAGAACCATCTTTTTGAATGTGTAAACCGATTTCGTGGAGAATTGTTAACATGGCAACATTGGTTTTACCAGCAGATGTTGGAGCACTTAATAATAAATTATTGCTTGACTTGAATGCCCATTCATATAGTCTACTTTGAACACGATTAAGTTTTTCAATGCCTACAAATGCTTTTTGAGCCCAATCTGGTAACTCGCTAATTGGAACCAAATGTTCATTTTGTGAGAATGGTGGATGTAATCTAGCTGGAATATGAATCTCTTCAAAACCTTTATGAGTTTCACGTTTTGATCCTTTTGGGAACTTAAAATTCTTGTTGGTCATTAAATGGTTACCTTGTGAAAAAGATAATTCATTTAAATTTAATAACTTTTTCTTTTTAATCTCTTCTTGTTGTTTTTGTTGTTGTCTTTCTACAATCTTTTGTTGAGCGGTCTTTTCACCTGTTTTCTTTTTATCTTCTATTCCTTTTAATTTATTTAAAATATTTAATGTAATTTCATTATTTGACATATCATCTTCAATTTTTTTTCTTTCTTGATCATTTTCTGCTTTAGCTAATAATGTACAATATAAAACTATATAATGATAAAAAAAATCTGTTAATATATATATCATTTTATATTGGTATTAGTAATAAGTTTTATACTTACTAGTTTGCTTATTGTTTAATAATAATTTTAAAAAATCAATTCTTTGATAACCAAATAATGAGATTAAGTCATTTTCGCATTTTCTTGAATCTAATTTTAAAATTTCTAAAACTTTTTCAGCTAATTGTTTTGAGACATCGTGGTCATTTTCAAATTTTGAAATTTGTCTTTGAATCCAAAATGCATCGATTTCGTTTGGATCAAGTAATAAATTATTGGTTGATGTTGATGATTTGGAATCTGAATTTCTTTTTGATTTTATAACTTCTTCATTATCTTTATCATTGTCTTCTTCATTTTCACTTTCGCTCTCTTCATCTCTATTAATTGGAATTTCATTAATATGATCTTCCTCATCGTTGCCATCGTCATCCTCTTCATCTCTAATTTCGTAGTCACTTAAATTCTCCTCTTCTTCATCCTCATCAATTACAACTGGTACAATACCTTGCTCGTCATCTAGTGAATCGATGTGTCTTGCTGCTTGATCCTGTGACTCTTTAAAATCTGTAATCTTTTTACCCATTCCTGTTAAATCTGCAAATCTGTCATCTGACATTCCTTTTAATAATTTAGTAATTTCTACTTTTTTTTCTGGTGCTCTGATGGTATCGTTCTTTAAAATTGATAATATTTCATCCAAAGCTGCTTTAACAATATCAGTTGGCTGATCGCCAAGATATGATTGAATAAAAGTTAACATATTTTCGTAAACAAGACGGGTTTCTTTAGTTTTTGGTTTATATATTCCTTGGAATGAGTCGGTTGCTGATAAAATATCCATTGGTGCCGAACCACTTGATTTATGACCACTACCAGTGTCGCCATTGATTCCTTGTTGATTTTTCATTTTTTTAGGTATAATCGATTCAGTTTGTTCACCTCCATTCTTTTCGGTTTCTTTTCTTTTTAAATTTTGCATTTTTTCCAATAATTCGACCGGTTTACCATATGTGACTCTATCACCCATATTACCCCTAACTCTGCCCCATAATGTTTCTGGTTCACCTTTAGGTTCTCTTAATTCACTTTTATTTCTTTCTGAATAAAATACTAAATTTGAATTCTTTAAAAAAAAAAAAAAAATATTAATAAACATTACAACCAATCATTATTTCATATAATTAAATTTACTTACTTCTTTATACCCATATTGTTTAGATCTGGCCAACTCTTCTGACATTATGTCATGTATATGTATTTATGTATATGTGTGTATATATATATGTATATGAATATTTAAATTTATGTGAATATTTTATATTTTATGAATAGTAATAAAAAAAAGAATTTTAAAACGAATTGAAATGAAAAAAAGAGACAATTGTTATTTTAAGTTGTTATTGTAATTCTAACAAAACAAATGTATATTAATTATAAAATGAAAATTTTAAATTATAAGAATTGATCTTTTTTTATTTCTTTTCTTTCTTTAATTTATCTATTTGACAAAAATTCAAAAAAAGAATTTTTTTTTTTTTTTTTTTAAAAATAATTTATTTTTTGAAAAATTTTTATTTTTTTTTTTTTTTTTAATTTTTTTTTTTTATTTTTTCGAAATTTGGAAATTTTGGAGCGAACTTCATTACTTTACCCCTTTAGATAGAAATGTATTAAATAATAAAGGAGCAATCGATTTATAATAATTAAAATAATAATAACACTTCATTTACAAAAATATATATTTTTATTTCCAAAAAAGAATTTTTTTTTAATTTTTTTAAAAAATTTTTTTTTTTTTATAAAAATTTAAAATTTTTAATTTTATTTTTTTTTTTTTGATATGAAAAAATTTCATTGCACAAAGAAATATTTTTCTATTTTAGTAAAATATAAATATTATTTCATTCTTTAAAATGAATGTGGAGTCAATTCAAGTTGAAACTGCTTCATTAAAGAGTGAAACTAACAATGACAATGATAAAGAAATATTAAATAGTAAAAGTAACATCACCTCCATCTCGGCATCTAATAGTGCACCATCATCAACACCAACAACACCATTAGATAATAACACATCACTATCACTATCCACAACATCATTAAAAACAAATAGTGTATCATCAACAACAACCACAACAACGAACACAACAACAAATACAACAAATACAACAATCTCATCAATAGGTAAAGATAATTTAAAACTATGGGTCGGTAATTTACCAATTGGTTCAACAGAGAAAGAAATTAGAGAGTTCTTTTCAGGTTTTGAAATTGATTTAATTAAAATGACAGAGATGACCGAATCACAATTAGCATGTGCAGTAGTTCAATTTTTCGATCATGAAAGTGCTTCATTAGCTCGTGAAAATAATCTATCATCAACATTCAAAGGAAACAAACTAATTATTAACTGGTCCAACTCACCACCAACTTTATCTCCATTATTATCATCCTCAAAACTAACTCCAAATGATCCATCAAACCAGGACAAAGAACAACAGCATCATTACCACCCATATCCATCTTACCAACATCACCATCATCACCGTACAGTTTATTATAACCAACAACAGCACACCTCGCAAATAACGACAACAAATGTAAATATATCACCACCAAAACCACCATTGCAACACTCTGCCACTACTCCAGTATCTTCTTCCTCATCGTCATCATCGTTACATAATATAGACTCAACAAAAGAAAAGGTCACAGATTGTGATCCTCGTGTAAATAGAAAGTTGTTTTTAGGGTTAACATATGAAGGCGAAAGTATTGAAGATTTAAGAAATAGATTTGGAAAATATGGTAAAGTTGAAGAAGTTGTTATTTCAGCCTCAGGTTTAGCATTTTTACGTTTCTATAATACCGAATCTGCAATTTTAGCAAAAAGGGACTTGGGATTTAGATATAAAATTCAATTTGATAAAAAAGAACCAAGGGACACACAGTACTATGATCCCAATGGCCCACCCTCATTTTATGGTGACAGACCACCACCTTTATTAGATGCAATTGAGTATGGTAGAAATGAAACCAATAGACAACCATCTATCCCACCACCACAGACACCATCAGATTTCTATAGAGACTCATATAGAGACTTGGCACACAACAAAAACAGTTACTATAATGAAAGACCACCCCCACCACCTGTCTCAGCACCTCTCCAACCACCTGTCACTCCTCCTTTGGTTGCACCATTATTTTCAGAACCATTATCCACCGAAGAATATAATCAATTTTATTCATTTTTAGAAAATTTAAAAGCAACAAATCTATCAATAAGAGTTTGTATTAACATACCTCAATCCGTTCGTTTTCATCCACCGTATATTAATTTATTTTTTTATCATAGGAATCTAAAGATTGGTTTATTTTACATTTAAAAAGTGGTAAACCTATTGTTCAATTGATTAATAGATATATAACTAATACAAGTAACAATCCTGTATATAATAAACTTGAAGTTATTTATTTAATTAATGATATATTGTATTTTGGTTTAGTAAGAAGGTTAAATCCAGACTCAAAAGATCCAATCTCAGATTTGTTCGAACCCTATTTACCCTCAATTTTATCATCATTCAACAAAGAATCTCAATTACTTCAAAACAATTGTTTAAAGGTTTTAGAATTTTGGGAAGAAAAACATTACTATCCATTAAAAGCAATTCAAGCATTTAGAAACCATATTTTTAAATGAATCCAACCAAAACTATTTAATAAATAAAAATAAAAAAAATAAAATAAAATAAAAAAAAGGAATTACTGAGTAATATTAGTATTTAAGACTTTATATAATAAACAATTGTGTATATATTTCTTTTTATTTTATTTTTAAGTTTATTTTTTATAAATATGAAACAGATAATGGAACATCAGATGTACGACCCATTGATACTACGCTATCTAACATCATTGTGTATAGATATAAAATTTTTTCAACATTTTCAGGACTCTTGGCCCAAATACTGTGATCATTTGAATCGATTTCTAAAACTAATTGATAAGTGCCCTCTGGGAACTCTAATTCGGTATGACCTTGTTTGCAACCTACAATACTATCCTTTGATAAAACTAAATCGATTGAGCAATTTTCAAAACCAATGCTTGGCAAAATTTCGTTTCTTAAAATTACCAATGATTCTTTTAATAATCTAACATGGTTGATATATTCCTGTTTGGTTAATGTCGCTGATGCTGGAGTTTGTTGTTCACTATTCTCTGCACAGTTACCTTCTAAGCATTTAATCCAATTTGTAAACTCTTTATCTTTATCGCTTGAAACTTTAGTTAAAAACATTTTATCAAAATCATAATCTACTTTGACTTTGCCAGTTGATAATAATCTATCTAATGTTGAATGAATACTTTCAATTGAAAATGTATATTCACTTGATAATTTTAATGGTGTCTAAATTATAAATTATATTAATATATATAAATATTTGCTTTATCATAATTATAAAAAACCTACCTTAATTTTTAAAACAAATGTTGGTGTATTATCTTTATGTGAGGTTTCAATACGTTCTACGATTGTTGAAATCCATTGATTTTTATATAAAATATGAATTGGTCCAATTGATGTATCATCATCGTTCAAAACTGGGAACTCTCTTCCCTCTTCACCTGTTTCCTCTGTTTGGAATAGTTGTTTGTTTTCTTTTATTTGTCTTTCTTTTTCTTCTTTTCCCTTTCTCTCTTCCTCTTCCTCTTGTTTTTGTTCTAAAATATATTGATCCTTTGCCTTGATCATTTCCTCGATTAATTGTTTTCTTGAATTTGATAATGGTAAGTTTAAATCTAAAATCTTTTTATTATAATCACCTAAATTACCATTTTTAGGCTCCTCTTGTGGCTGTACTTCTTGTTGAGTCTGTTGTAGTTTCTTTAAAATGATGGCTCTTTCATCTTCATATTTGATTGGTTTAATTTTTGATGATAAAATTCTTTTACCTTCTAATTTGCAACTTAAAACACACCAACATTTAGTCTTTTGTTGTGGTGCTGATGTTGGTGCTGGTTCAGGTGCTGATGGTGCTTGAATCTCTGGAGATTGTGAAATCTGATCATTATTATTATTATTTACATTGGTTATTGGTTGTTTTTGTTGATCATTTTTTATTGGTGGTACCTCTTCATCCAACTTCATTTGAGGTGATGTCAAATAGTACCTATTAAACTGTTGGCTTCTATTATAACCATTATTATTATTATTATTTACAAGAGTTACTGAACCGCCATCTTTATTATATATGGCTCTATTTATATTTTTAATTTTTGATAATTTATTAAAAAGAAACATTTTAAAAAGTAAATATAAAATAAAAACTATATAATATTATTTATATTGTTATATAGAGATATAATAATATAATAATTAATATAATTGTTATTAAATTTAATAAGTTTTAAAATTTAAAAAAAATTTATAAAAAAAATTTTAAAAAATTTTAAAAAAAAAATTTTTTTTAATTTTTTTTTTTTTTGTAATTTACTGTTTCTGATATTAAAATTTATTTAAATTAATTAATTTGAATTTTTTAAAAAAAAAAAAAAACCATAATTATCTGATCATTTGTGGGTATTTGAAAAACAACATTATTTATTAAATAATTAATTAAAAAGGAAAAAATTAAAAAATGATCATTTTTTTTTTTTGAATTATTTTGAATTATTTTTTTTTTTTTTTTTTTTTTTTTCCAATTTTTTTTTTTTTTTTTTCCAAATTTTTCCCAAATTTTTTTTTTTTTTTTTTTTTTTTTTTTTTTTTTTTTATTGACAAATATAAACATAAAATTTATTTTTTAGTTTAATAAAAACAATCACAATTAAAAATGGAAATTTATGCATTTGTACCATTAGGTGTTTTAACACTCGTTTGTGTTTTATTTTCACTCCTTTTCAAAAAGGAAAAACTCACCATTTTTTGGTTACTCTGGTCGGGTCTTATTCACATTATTCTCGAAGGTTCATACGGTTTCTTTGCTCATGAAGTTACTAAAGCCAGTACTGTTACCTTCACTGAAAAAATGTTAGAAATGATTCCATTAGAAAAAGCCTTCGATTTACATTGGTACGCCTCATTATACTCACAATACGCCAAATACGATTTAAGATACGCCATTCAAGATCCAATGGTTGTCTTCTTCTGTTTCATGGAATTAGTCCAAGGTGCCTGTTGTTTCATTTTAGCCTTATGTGTTATCAAAGAAGCCAAGATTCGTCACGCTCTTCAAATCTTCTTATGTTCAATTCAAGGTTTAGGTACTGTTTTCTATTTCATCACCCCATACATCTATGGTGTTTGGAATGAACAAATCTCATCAGATCCATTCGAACTCTGGGTTTACGTTGTCGGTCTCAATGGTCTTTGGTTATTAGTTCCAATCATCTTAACCATCCAATCTTTCATTGCCATCTCAAATCAATTCTCTGTTCAATTACCAAATACTAAATACATTAAAAAATCAACCAAACCAAAAACTGCTTAAATAATAACAATAGCAGTAAAAATACCAATTAAGAAAATTTTGGATATTTGTAATCACAGTTTCAGATTTAAAAAAAAATAATAAATGGTATTTTAGATCAAAAAAAAAAAAAAACCCACTCTTTATTTTTATTCACATTTTTTATTTTTTTTTAATTTATAATTTTTTTTTTTTTTATAGTTTTGATTACTGCAACCTTATACCAATCACTTGGTAATTCAAGATTTAAAAAACACCTACTCATCTCTTGACTTTTTTTATAGTTTGTTAATTAAAAATAAAAAAAATTAAAAAAAAATTAAAAAAAAAAAAAAGAATTTTCCTTTTATTTTTTTTTTTTTATAAAAAAACTGATTTTTTTTTTTATTTTTTATTTTTTTATTTTCTATTTTTTTATAAGGTGCACCAAAAATCACAAATATATGTTTATTTAAAATATTGTACTATCAATTTGTAATATAAAATAATAAAATTAAATAAACTATAAAAACATAACAATCATACCATTAATTAAAAAAAAAATATTTAAAATTTAATAACAATATTATAAATAATAAAATGAATAACAGTAATGACTTATATGCTAAAGAGTTTGACACAGATCCAGATGTTAATGGGAACAGTGATTTTATAAATAATAGTAATAATAATAATAATAATAATAACAATAGCAGCATTGTTGAAGATGGTGCTGAGGTCGAAAAACATTTATATAAAGTATTATTAATTGGTGACTATGCAGTTGGAAAAACCTCATTAATCAAGCGTTACTGCACTGGTATTTTCTCACCAAATTATAAATTAACAATTGGTGTCGATTTTTCAGTTAAAGATATTGAGTGGGAAAAAAATAAAGTGGTTAGTTTACAAGTATGTAATAAATAATTTATTAAAAAATAATAATAATAGTTTATTAATAATAATTATATTTGATATATAGCTTTGGGATATTGCAGGTCATGAAAGATTTGGTACAATGACAAGAGTTTATTATAGGTATGCAATTGCAGCAATTATAGTGTTCGATTTATCCAGACCATCAACATTTGATGCAGTAACAAAATGGAGAGAAGATGTTAATAGTAAAGTGGTTTTAGCAAATCAAGAGCCAATCCCAGTTCTTTTATTAGCAAATAAGAGCGATCTTCCAACATCGTATGTAGATAGTGAAATGTTGGATAACTTTTGTAAAGAGAATAATTTTATTGGTTGGTATGCAACATCTGCTTTAAACAACGCAAACATTGACGAAGCAATGAGATTTTTAACAAAAAAAATTTTAGAAGTAGCTAAAACAAATCACCCAGTTAAAGAAGAGGATGGACTTTCATTAAATAAACCAATTACCAACGATCAAGATACAAATAAAAAATCATGTTGTAAATAAATAAAATAATAAAAATTAATAATTTAAAAATACAGTACTAGCGAGCGTGCTTGCTCACTTTCACCGCCCAAAACAACCAACATTTCAATAGTTTTAGATTTTAAATTATCTTTGAATAAAGATCTTATTTTTAGTAATAATTTAAAATAGTCCATAAAAATAAAAATAAATATTAATAATAAACACAAAACTTATCACTAATCGAGATAACAATAAATAAACTATATTTATTTTTACAATATAATACTTAATTAACACATTGCAATAGCTTCCATAATGTTGGCAACATTGTAAGATAATATAAATGTTTACAGTTTTTAATTTAACTATTTTTATTTTTTATTTTTGTTTTTTTTGTAATTTAATTTAAAAATTAAGAATCAAAATCATAAACAATGATTTCTTTTGCAGCAGTTACCAATTTGCTTCCTTTAAATTGAATGCAAATAATAGATTCGGTGTGACCTTCTAATGTATATAGATTTTTACCAGTTTCGATATCCCAAACCTTGACCTTTTTATCCCAACCAGCTGAAACTAAACGATTACCTTCACATTGGATACTCCATACGTTGAAACTGTGACCAAATAGAGTGTGTAAACATTTACCAGTTATCAAATCCCATACCTTTAAGGTTGTATCCCAAGAGCCTGATACCAAAACATTACCATGGACTTGTGTACATCTAACTCTAAATGTATGACCAGTTAGTAAGTGAATAGTGTTGCCAGTATGTAAGTTCCAAACTCTTAAACTATAATCCCAGGAGGAGCTGATAATACGTGGACCATCTGGACTATCCCACCATTGAATTGAGGTTACCCTGTCGCTATGACCATTGAATTTGGTTAAATGAATTCTTGTTGGAATGTCGACTACATTTAAAATACCACTCATAGTGCCGTTGATTAAAAGATTGTTCTTGTAGAATAAACATGAGATACCTGATGTGTTGTGAGAGAATGTATGAAGTAGTTTACCGGAATCAATGGACCAAAGGTTGATGGTATGATCTAATGAACCAGAAGCTATTGTTGAGTCATCAATGATACAAATGCAGCTGACACCATCGCTATGTCCCTCCAATACATGTAAACATTTTCCAGTAACTATATCCCAAACCCTAAGAGTTGAATCTGAACTTCCACTAATTAAACGATTACCTTTAGAAACGACGCAGGTTATACCAGCGACATGGCCACCATTTTCACGTGTTGAAATTTCTTTACATTCACCTGTTTCAATATTCCATATTTTTAATGATGAGTCCCAAGAACCAGTAACCAAATGATCCCCGTCGAACTCCATACATGTGATCCAATCAGAGTGACCAGGTAATCTAATTTCCTTTTGGATTCCTTTTAACCAATTGTTTTCAACTCTCTGTCTTTTGATATATAAACTTCTCCAGTCAATTCTTAATCTTTTATTCTTTTTGCTGTTATTATTATTTACATCGTTACTATCAAAATCTTCATAGTCTTCATAATCATCACTATTTGTTAATTGATTATTGTTTGGTGATAATAAATTCTTTTTTAAAATTTTATTGCTATCTTCAAATTCCAAATTATTATTATTATTGTTATTGCTATCATTATAACTGTTATTGCTATTATTTATATCATATGAAGTTGGTAGTATCATTGGTGAAACTAAAGAGTCTGGTTGAATTATTGAGTTTTTCCAATAGGTTGGTGGTATTGCAACTTTTGGTTCGTGGTCTAATGTGTTCCATTTTCTATAGAATAAATTTTTCCAAATTGAATCTGAAAAGGTGTAATTATGCCATTGTTTGCAAACTCTTGAAACACTATAATGGATATCGTGAAATGGTAGGTTTTCGAAAATTGTTACCATAACCTCCAATGGTAATAGTTGAAATAATGAGAATGGTTCCATATTTGCTATAATTTTTGCTGTAGTTGTATTATTAATATTACTTGGCAAAATTGCATTTTGGACAAGAGTAATTTCTGTTGAAAAATTCGCTAAATGACAACAAGTAAAACTATTTTTTAAACCATGGTGGTAACCATCACTATTATTTGAACTATTATCCATATCCAAATCTAAATCTATATCACTACTATTACAACAATTATTTTTTACAGTATTATTTTTAAAATTATTATTATTATTATTATTATTATTAATATTATTATTCTTTAACATAGTATTATAATTCATAGTACTATTATTATCGAATAAGTTTATATTGCTTAAATTATCTAAACTATTATATATATTATCAATATTATTATTTATGCCGCCATTATTTAAATTGTTCGGTATATTTTTAAAAGTTGATAATAAAGATCCTGGCTGTGAGGTGTGTTTTGAACTAAAATTATATCTATCTGAAATTGATTTCCATTTCGAGTAAACTGAGTTTTTACACTGAATAATTTCTTTACTAATTTTATCATTCTCTTGCTTCAGTACCTCTAAACTGGCTGCTATTAGATCTCTTCTTTCTTGATAGGCTTTCAATTCCTCCTCTACTTGGATTAAACTTGACTCCACTAACAATAGGTCATGGTATTTATCTTCTTTTTTCTTTTTTAAACTTTCAACTAATGGGTCTCCAATAAATAACCAATCTAATTTGTTTGATAATAAATCAACAAATTCAATATTATTATTGTTACTATTATTGTTATTATTACTATTATTATTTAAAGAAGTTAAAGAATTTGTAGTGGTTGTATTGGTTGTTGTCAGTTTATTGCCATCATTACTATTATTAATATTATTGTTATTGTTGCTATTACTATCTATACTGCCATTTATACCAATACCCTCTTTTATAGTGCTAGTATCTTTTGGAATGATATTTGACATTTAATTATAAAGTTTTATATGTAGTGTTATATTATAGGTTGTATTATTATGATTATATTCTATTTGGTTTATTGTTTGTACTATTATACGAAAAGAAACTTTTTTGCAAAAAAATAAAAATAAAAATAAAAATAAAAAAAATTAAGTTATCGGGTAGAGGTGAATAAAAATAAAAAGAAAAAAAAAAAATAAAATTTTTATTTAAAAAAATAAAAAATTTTTCAATAACACAAAAAAAATAAAATTAAAAGGTCGTTTTTTTTTTTCTATATATTTAGTGCATGTGTTATTAAATGGAATACATGAAATATAAAAAATGAAAGAAAAAAAAAAAAAAAATTGTGGACTATGGCACAAAATTAAAAAACTATTATTATAATAAAAAATAAAATCATTAAAAAAAAAAAAAATAAAAAAAAAAAAGAATTAAAAAAAAAAAAAGAATTAAAAAAAAAAAAATCTATTAATAGTTAATATTAACACAATTTAATAAAGAAAAATTATTTTATTTGATTATACAAAGATAATATCCTTTTTTATTATTTTTTATAATTATTATTTTTATTATATTTATTATTTTATATTTACCCCCCCAAATTATCAAACTAGTTTTTTTTTTTTTAAATTTAAAAAAAATTTCATTTTTTTATTTTTTATTATTATTTTTTTTTAATTTTTATTTTTCCTTTTCTTTTTTTTTATTTTTTTTTTTTATTTTTTTTTTTTCAGATTGTATATAAAACATTAATAAATATCTATAATAATTGTTTTTTGTAATATTACAATTTCCAGTATTTAAATATATTAGTTTTTTTAAAAAAAAAAAATATTTAAAGATTCAAAATGGAAAAAAAATATGAACATTATTTACACAGCGGTTATGCACATCCAGTAACTAGATCATGGCAAGGAGATAATACCATTCTCAAATCTCAATTAATTTATCCAATTTTTGTTACTGATTTAGTTAATACTAAAACCGAAATTAAATGTAAATATTTTTTTAAAATTTTAAAATTTTAAAATTTTTTTAAAAACACAACACAAAAATTTTAAAATTAAAAAAAATCATCATCTTAATCTTAAAAACAATTTTAATTATCATTATTAATAATTATTTAAAATTATATAGCATTACCAGGACAATATCAAATTTCAACAGATTTAGTTGTAGAGTTTTTAAAACCATTAGTAGAAAAAGGATTAAAATCAGTTATTTTATTTGGTGTTATTATTTCAGGTGTAAAAGACGAAACTGCTTCATCAGCATCAAACCCAGAAACTTCACCAGTTATTAAATCAAGTAATATCAAAAAAAATTATTTAGCATCAAAATTATTTATAAATATATTAATTTTTTATTACAATTTATTATTTCAGTTCATTTAATTAAAAAAGAATTCCCAGAGGTATTAATTATTACAGATTTATGTTTATGCGGATACACACATCATGGACATTGTGGATTTTTAGATAAAGAAGATTTAATCGAAAACGAACCAAGTATTGTTAGATTAGGTGAAATTGCAGTATCATTTGCAAAAGCAGGAGCTCATGTTATTGCTCCATCAGATATGATGGATTGCAGAGTTGCTCAAATTAAAAAATCATTATTTGAAAACGGTTTAGGTAGTCGTGTTGCAGTTATGGCCTATAGTTCAAAGTTTGCATCATCATTTTATGGACCATTTAGAGATGCCGCAGGCAGTGGTGCTAAAAAGGGTGATAGACAAGCCTACCAATTACCAATGGCAAGCAGAGGTTTAGGTTTAAGAGCCGCTTTAAGAGATGAAAAAGAAGGTGCTGATTTCATTATGGTTAAACCAGCAGGACCATACATGGATATCATCCGTGAAGTCAAGGATAATGTCAAGGTCCCAGTTTGTTGCTATCAAGTCAGTGGCGAATATGCAATGATTTATCATGGTGCTACTGCTGGTGGTATTAACTTAAAGGAAGGTGTTATGGAGTCTTTAATCTCTCTTCAACGTTCTGGTTGCGACATTTTTATTACATATTTTACTCCTCAATTATTAGATTGGTTAAAATTATAAAAATATATAATTATAAAATATAAAAATTAAAATATTAAAAATATAATTATAAAAATATAATAAAAAATATTATCTTTTTTTTTTTTATTATAAAGATATTAAAAAAATATTTTTTAATATATACACTTTTTAATTTTATTTAATAAATTATTCTAATAAATTATATCTCTTTATCATTTCCTCTCTAACATTATTATCATACACCTTTCTAATAATAAATGTTTCTTCTCTATCGATGAGATCTAGGTCACTTATTGATACATTATAACGAATATTATTCCATAAAGTTGCTCTATGGGTTCTTTTTTCTACTGGACCATTAAAAATAGCTTGACCATTTTGAAAGAAAGATTCATCTGGAATCATTGAAAATTTTAATGAAAATAGTTTCTCTAAAGATTTTGTTGATGAAATTAAGAAGTGTACAAATTTAGATGTTAAAAAGTGCCATTGACTACCATCCAACACATCACCTTTTGATGGTACTGCCTCTATACCGCATCCATATTTTGAAATTGCATTCTTTGAAATACCGACACCTTTATGGTCTTCATAATAAATTCTGTCATATCTATATATACATATGTTAAAATTATTAGTATATTTTTGTAAAAATAAAAGTATTCACTACAATATATTTACCTAGCTTTCACATCTGCCATACAACAATGTAAATAGGTTGTATCGATATTTTCACCTTCAAATAGAGTTCTTGATATATTTTTTAATGATCTTGTAATCATATCGTTTAAACTATAATTTATCATATGTGAAAATAATGATGGTAAGTTTGTGGCTTGGGATCTTTCTTCAACCATATCAAAGAGTACTGTATATGATGCTAATTCCATGTACACTAAAGAGATAGTTCCCCATTCTCCATTGAATCTTAAATCAGAAATCTTGATATTGTTGGGATATTTTTCATAAATATTTTCGGTGGCTCTTCCTTTAGCTTGTAAATCTTTTAAATAATCGTTTAATAATTGAATTTTATTTAAATCTGAAAAATTCTTATCGACTATAACAAAATTATTAGTGTTGGTTTTTTTTTATAATAAAAATATAAAACTAGAAACTTACTGTGGATTACGTAATAGTGATATGGTTGGTACAGCACTTTAAATAGATTATCAATTGCATCTATATCTATTTTATGAATTAGAATTACAAAACCTAGTGGCTGGGATGGCTCTCTTTGAATTTGGTTGTTATTTGGATTTCTTTGGAAAAAATCTTGGTATTTCATTTTATACTCACCAAAAGTATCTTTTTCTAAAATGGAATTTACTAAATCTACATCTCTATCAAAAAAGGGCCCATATGTTTCGAATATTGAAAAAATCTTATCGTTTTCGGATTTGTTTTCATTTTCACCATCTGTCAATTTTAAATCGGTTAAATCTATCTGCTTTCTATACTTTGACCAACAGCAAATGGGACCAACTTCGCCATAGTGAGGATCTTGAGCATGGTTACATAGCTCTGTTGTGTTTGCTAAAGAACAATCCTCTCCTCCATATGATAGTGGACATATTGTTTTATCACCAAATTTTAAACCACCATTCTTTACTAGATGGATATTTAAATTTGATCCATTTCCAAAACTATATAAAAAGTTTAATAAAACCAATATTATTAAAATTTTCATTATTATTATTTTACAAATGAAAATTTTTTTTTTTTTAGTATTAATACTGATATTAATATTTTGTTATTATTTTATTATTATTTTATAATTATTTTATTATTATTTTTTTTTTTTTTTTTTTTTTTAAATTTCTATTTTATTATTTAATAATATATCTTAGCAATGAATAAATTTTTAAGTATTTAGGGTTGGTTTCCCAATGGTGGGGGTTAAAAAAAAATTTTATAAAGTATTCGAGGGGTGTGGGTGGAATTGTTAATAAACTAGTGGGTGAAAGAAAAAATGTGTGAATTATAAGGTGTGGGTAAATATGTGTGTGAGTAAATTTTTGGGGTTGAAAAGTTTTTAAAGTTTTATTTACATGGAAATAAAAGTTTATTTATTTTATTTTATATTTAGCATTTTATTCTATTTTACAATTATATAATTTTATTTAATATGGTATTATTGCTATTATTGGGGGTTACATATTTTAAAGAGTTGTATACTATTTCAATACCATCGGTCTTACTATCCCAGCTTGTTCTATCAAATTCATTTGAGGGTGGATAGAAATTTAAACCAACAATTGGGGATGCTTTAGTTTGTAACTCTACAATTAGGGGTCTATCGTTATCCCAATCTGCAATTTTAATAGCATACTTTGATTCTGAAGAATCACTGTGGGAACTATGTAACCCACCTTGCAAATCTTTTACATTTTCTAAAATAGGATGATTTTCAAAATATCTTTTACCTAGTTTTAATTGAAAGACTCTTTGTGTTACACCATCATTAAATGGATTATATTCTTCTTCTAACCATCTTCCTTCTAATCTATTTCCTTTGCCACACTAAAATAAAAATATAAAAAATTAATATAAAATATAAAAAATAAAAAATAAATAATAGGACCAAAAGAAAAAGTAACTATCTGTGTTTGATTTGCTTATAAAAAAAAATTAAAATAATTAAAATATTTTGATATTTTGATATTTACATTTGAATATGCGGCCAAAACAATTCCACCACCATTATCAACATAGTCAGCTAAAATATTACCAACTGTTTTTTGTCTAAAACCACAGTATGAAAAGAATAAAATAGCATCATATTGAAATAGATTTGATTGGGAAACTCCATTGAACCCAAACACATTAAAATAATCTACATTTTTTAAACCTTTTTCAACGAGAACATTTCTAATTTCTTTTAATCTGGTATTATCTATTTCTGAACCCATTACTAAATATTTTGGTGTAATACTCTTAATAAAAAAATACTTCCAACTGTTTTTTTGATAGTTTAAAAGTCTTCTTTGGTTTTGGAGATCTAAATTATTAAAATTATTTTCTAATGATTGATTATTTAAAACCTGATATTCATCAGCACCATCAACCATATTATTATTATCATTTAAAACCAAATCATTAAAATTATCTTCATCATCATTGTAATTTAGTTGTTGTTGTTGTTGTTGCTGTTGTAACTGTAAAAATCTTGATTTTAATTTTGGTGAGTTCTTATAAGTTTGTGTTGATAGTATCTTCCAAAACAACTCATCACTGCAAACATTATATAAAAATTTAGATGTATATTGAAATGTTGATATTATAAATTCTCCAGATATATTTGATAATATTAAATATAAAACCTCCTAATTTATAATTAGATAATAATTAGAAGAATGAATTTTAAAAATAGCAACAATGTTGAATCTTACATTAGGTAAATCTTCAAAGCATATAATATTACACATTTTTTAGAAAATAAAAAATAAAATAATACAAATTATTTTTACAGATATTTATTATTATAGAACAATATATATATATATATATAAAAGAAAAGGAAAAAGATAAACAATAGTAATTAAAATGATATGTATTTAAAAATAAAAAAAATAAAAAAATTTATTTGTGATAAATAGAAAAAAAAAAAAAATAAAAAAAATTATTATATAAAAAAAAATAAATAACTAAATAAATAGGTTAGATAAAATAACAAAACCCCCCATTTTTTTAAAAAAAAAAAAAAAAAACAAAAAAAAACAACATTTTTAAGGTAACCCCCATTGTTTTTTTTATTTTTTTTTTTTTTTTAAAAATAAATACATTATTTATTTTTTTTTTTTTTTTATTTTTTTATTTTTTTTTTTAAAAAATTATATCTGAATAAATTTATCTAAATATAGATTAAGTTTTATACCATGCATAAAAAAAGTATATTAAAAAAAAAAAAAAATTATAAAACAACTACAAAAAATTTTATTTTTAAATTTAATTTAAAAATTTAAAAAAAATGTGTTTTGTGTTTTCAATTATATTATAATATGGTCTTTTATTTTTAATTTTTTATTATTTTATTTTATTTTTTTTATTTTTTTTATTTTATTTTTTTTATTTTTTTTATTTTTTGAATTATTGATTCATTTATGATATTATTTTAATGTTATTATTGTCATTATCATTGTTGCCATCAGTATCGATTTTGTTGTTGTTATTATTTTCCTCATCATCGTTGGTGTTATCTTTTATTACTGAAACTGGTCTATGACATCCCAACATTGGTGAATGACTACTTTGATGACTAGAAGTACTATTATTTGAAACTGTAGATTTTTGAGAAATCCAATTAAAATCCTCTTTGGAATTATTTGAAGAGATTGAAGAAATTGAACTTCTATTATCTAAATTATTTAAAAATGTTGGTAAATTGAATTTTTGTATTATTGGCGAACTAAATATTCCATTATTATTATTATTATTATTATTATTATTATTATTATTATTACTATTATTATTATTACTATTACTATTACTATTATTACTATTACTATTGTTATTATTTATATTACTAGTATTATTATTATTACTATTGTTGTTGCTAATACCATTACTTGAGTTTAATGAAAAATTATTATTATTACCAAAATTATTATTATGTAATAACCAATTACTTGACATCCAAAAATCACGGCATTCACCACGCATATAACAAGCTTTCCATAATTCTAAACAACGTGAAAATAATTTTGGTCGAATTTGTTGAATATCTTGAGGGAAAAAATATGGATTTAAGAATCTTGAAACATTTAAATTGACTTCAGTCCAAATTGAAACAGTTTTTGATTTAATTTGGTCAGGTATACGATCTTTTTCACAATTGTTTAAAAATGTACCATATTTACAACTGTGTATATTATCACTAATGAATAGTAATAGTGCAGGTGTAAATTCAAAGAGTAATGGGAATTGATTACATAATTGAAATACACAATCGAGGAATTGTTGGAAAATTGGTGATCTTTCTTCCTCATTGCCTGGTAAATGACCTAAACGTAATGAAAATTTGTGACCAAATGATAACCAGTCCTTTTCTATGAGCACTTCAAAACCATAGATAGTTCTGTAGAATGGATCCAATAGAATTTGAGTTAAAGATGTGATTTGTGGAGTTCTATCCCAACCATCACTGCAATGTACCAATACCGAGTTGCCCCTGGTTATTAAATCTGCACAAAATGTAGCAGCCTCTAAAATAGATTTAATATGTGATATCCAACCAGATTCATCTACAGCACCCCACCATTTAGAATCCAAACCTTCTGAATCTGAACGTATTCTCATAGAATATATGAGTCTCTCTAAACTTTTTCTAATTGCATGAATATTTGGTATATTCATAAAGACTAATTTACAATTGTTATAGTATTGGATAGTTTCATAACCACCACCGACCGCCGCATTTGCAATAGCATTAAGTTTTGGACGAGCGTCAATAAGATATAGTTGCTTTGATGGTGCCATTGAGGCCAAAATGTTGCTGTATAACTCGTCTTCATAACAACGGGCACGTTCTAAACCAACCAATGGCTGTGAGCATCTACTAATACTGGCATTGCTGTTTGGGTCCTTCCAAGTGAGCACAGGTATACGTCCTTTACTTCTATAACCAAATATCTTTTCCAAATCTCTATCTAAAGCTTTGCTTGCTATAACTACTGAACTTGGATAACTGGAACATAATCTATAATCTTTATTTAATGTTGTAAATCTCCAATGATTTGTAGGATCATCGTACAAGACTCCAAATCTTGCATACTCCCTTCTTTGATTATATATTTGCCAACCATCCAAGCCACTATTTAAACTACTACTTAATGAACCATTACTATTTACACAATTGAAGCCTGGCATCTTGTAAAGGAACGCAAATAAATAGGGTGCTGTTTCTTCAAAAATTCCATACGATTCATACCTATCGATATGCTCCACTCTTGATTCATCTTCCATATGGATATTCTCTTCAACAATCTTTTTCTGTATTGTTTTGTTTTGTGAATTTACTTTAATTGATCTTTCTATTTTAACTTTGAAATGATAGTTTATTAAATCTAATATTTTATCTCTTAAAAACTGTGACATAAAATATAATTTAAATTGTTTAAAATCTTTAGTTTCTATATTAATTAATTGATAATTCATTATAATATTTGATGATGTATTATTATTTAAAAGTAAATTATTGGTTGAATTTGATGGTGATAATACTGCAGTTGGTGATAATGACCCTCCGTTATTGGTGTTATTACTATTGCCATTGCCAATTGGTGATAATGTTGTTAATTGACCACCAATAGTTGATAAAGTTAAATTTGCTTGGTGCCCAAAATTTATTATATTATTTAAAATACCAAATGATTTTTCTTTTGGTTCTTTTAGTTCTTTTGTTTCTTTTGTATTATTATTATTATTTAATGATTCATTTGTTATTAAATAATCATCAATTAAAATGGTATCACCATTGGATGTTGTTGTAATTTCACTTGTTAAGAAATCATTGTTGCTATTACTTGGTACTATAATAGATTCTCTTTTTTTTTCTGACTCGTTATTATTTGAACTGTTGTTATTTGAATTACCAGAGCCACCTGAATTGTTTGAATTATCTTTTTCATCATCAGTTACCAATGAAGAAATTGATAATAATGGTATCTCTTCTTCCTCCTCCTCCAACAATGGGAAAAAGCTACCTAAATTATTTAATAGTTGCTGTTGTGTTTGTTGTTGTTTGATATTTAATATAGTGGATGGTGATGTTGATGATGTTATATAGTTGGTATTTGTGGAACCATTTGTATTGGCCAATGACGATGTTGATGAGTTTGGGGAACCTGGAGCTGATGGGTTATTTGAAAATAATGCTGGTGATAGTGGGTTAAATGCTGATGATGTGGTAAATGATGATGAAGAATTTGATAAAGAATCAACTTTAAATACTAATCTATAATTTGTAATGTACAGTTTACCAGTATACAATTGAATTGATGAACCAGTTGTAAATGAATCACCTGATTGCGTAAAAGTTTGAGTTGGTTTACCCAAAAACACTGACTTTTCAATCATTAAAATATTTTCACCCGTTTGTGAAATTCTTTCCAAGAAAAACTGTTTGATCAATGGGAATGGTGATACAGCTGCCATTTCCATTGGTGATGGCAGCATTGGTGTTGGCTTATTGAAATCTGCACCATACATTAAAAACAACTCTAATAAATCCACTTTGCCCTGTTCAATTGATATATGCTGACATGTTCTACCTCTTCTATCTACAATATTTGGATTTGCTCCATGATACAATAATAACTTTAGATACTCTAAATTATCATTTAACATGGTTGCTCTGTGTAATGGTGTTTCCTGTTTACCATCTTTATGATTAATATATGCACCACAATCAATTAGTTGTTTAGCAATTTTAATTGATTTATTTGAATAACAAAATCTAAATGAAAATGAAAAAAAAAAAGTTAATAAATAATTTTATAAAATAAAAAAAAGTGGGTGAGAGTGAGTGTAGTTTTACTTACTTTGATAATAAATGCAATGGAGTAGAACCTGATTCAGTCCTTGCATTGGGGTCAGCACCTCTTGATAATAATTTTTTAGCGATTTCAAATGCTCCTTGATTTACAGCACAACTTAATGGAGTGTAACCATCTTTATCTTTAATATCTAATTGAATTTTTTTATCTTGAAAAAAACCATACTTTTTCTTTAATATAAATTTGATTGCTGAAATATTATCATTTGATGCTATTAAATGTAATAGTGTTTGATTTCTATTATTTTTTGTTGTTGCTAAATCATGTTTCTTTAAAAACTCCTTCAATAAATTCTTATCTGTACTTTTTGATATAATATTTAAAGTTTGATCAATACTACTATTACTATTCATTTGTTCAATTTGAATTTATTGATCTTTTTTTTTTTTTTTTTGATTTGAAAATGAAAAATAAAAAAAATCTGATTCAAAGTAATAAAGAAAGAATAAAAAAAAAAAAAAAAAAGAATTTATATTTTAAAGAATGTCATAAATATAATATTTATTTATTATTATGTGGGTGTAATACTACAACTTTTGGTTTTGGTTCTGGTGTTTTGTTGTAAATAAAATAAAAAAAATCAAAATGTAAAATAAAATTAAAAAAAAAAAAAATTAAAAAAAATCTTTTTATTTTATTTTTTTTTATTTTTTTTTTATTTTTAATTTTTTTTTTTTACTGTGTGCCAACCAATTGATCAAAACAACAACGCTTTGGAAATAAAGAAAAAAAAAACATAATTAAAACTTAAAATATACATGTTATAATATCACTTTTTTTATTTATTTATTTTATTTTATTTTTATTATATGCTATTTAGTTTTATTAGTATTTTTAAATTTAATTTTTAATTTTTTATTTTCAATTTTTTTATTTTTATTTGTTTTCTTATAATTGTATATATTTATTAATATAAATATTTTTATATTTGTATATTATACATTATAAACCGAATTAGGTTTTGGAATCACGTTTTTTTTTTAATTTTTTGACTTTTGCGGAGTGTCACTAACTCAAAATACCGACGTTCAAAGAAAACCTATTTTTTTTTTTAGTTATAAATTGCTTAGAAAGATCGCAATATAATTTTTTCTTTTAAAAATATTTTTTTCGATTTGTCTTTGCAGCTTCGCAACCACAATTACACCAAAATTTTTTTTTTAAAATAAATATCTTTTTAGGCTTTTCATAAATATTGCACATTCATATAAATATCTATTATTTTTTAATATGTAAATATATAAAATACTTTAATATTAATATTAAAGTTTTATTTTGTTGATATATGTATAACTATTATTATGTTCTTGATCATTTCGTTGTGGATTGATAACCATTTTTGTTGAATCTACAAAATTGTATAACCATACTACTCTTGGTAGTTTTGTTTAAAAATTTTGAAAACCCAAGATTCCCTTTGAAGCTCTAATTCTTTTTCTGATAAAATTGGTTCGGGAATAACAACATTAGTTTTAAACCTCCATCCTGAGCTATAAATCAAATTGTTGAATCATACCTGGAAAAAAATATTTCTAAATAAAATTTTGTTTTTTTATTAAAATTTTTAATAAAATAAATGTTTTTTTTTTGTATTTTAATTTTAAGAAAATTTTTTTATAATTTTCAAGAATTTTTAAAAAAAAAATAGTTTCACACAAAACTATCCGCCTGTCGATAAGGTTTTAAGGGTTAATATAAGAATTTTTATTTACAAATTAGTTTTTTTTTTTTGATGGTGGTGGTTGTGGTTGTTGTGGTTGTGGTGGTTGTGATTTCATCTATTGAGTGGTCACCCATATTATCAGTTATATATGCGGTGGCTTTATCGTTATTATTATTATTATTATTCTTTTTTTCATCTTTGTAACGGTTGTATGCATTTGTACATTTATCCTTTGTAAAAGGGATACCTGGGTATTTTTTTAGCATTTCACCATTGATTTCTGCCCAATCTATGAGTTTCTTCTTCTTTTGAACCTCAACTTGTTTTTTTTTCTTTATGTGAGCATCAATTATTTCAAGCATAAATGAGATAATATGATCTTCCCAAACTATATTTTTTCTTGTTTTGTTGGATGATGGTACGGACGATGGTAAGGATGATACGAGTTCTTTAATTTTTGTTGCTAGTTCTAGTGCTTTTTCATACTCTTCACGTTTCTTTTTTCTTTCTTCCCTTCTTCTTTGTCTCTCCTCCTCTTTTTTCTCTAACTCTGCTTTTTCTTTATCGATACGTTCTTGTTCAGCAACCTTTTCCAATCTTTCTTTTTCAGCGGCAGTATCTTTTTCTTGTTGCTCTCTTTCCAATCTTTCTTTTTCAGCAGTATCAGCTTTTTCTTTTTCGAGACGTTCTTGTTCAGCGGCTTTTTCGACACGCTCTTGTTCAGCAGCTTTTTCTTTTTCTAATCTTTCCTTTTCAGCAAGTTCTTTTTCAATACGCTCTTTTTCGAGACGTTCTTGTTCAGCAGCTTTTTCTCTTTCTAATTTTTCTTTTTCAAGACTATCTTTCTTTTCTAATAACTCTTGTAGTTTTTTGTTTTCTTCTTGCTGCAATCTTCTTTCCTCTTTTATCTTTTCACACTCTTCTCTAATTTTTTGTTGCTCTAACTCTAATCTCTTTGACTTTTCTTCAAATTCCTTTGTTCTCTTTTCACGCTCTTCTCTAGTGCCACTTTCTAACTTGTCCATTTCTTCTTTATATGCTTTTTCATCCTCTTCCCGTTTCTTTTTTCTTTCCTCCTTTCTTCTTTGTCTCTCCTCCTCCTCTATTTTCCCTAACTCTGCTTGTATTCTTTGCTCCTCTTCACGCTTTTTTCTTCTTTCTTCGTTTCTTTTCTCTCTTTCGGCTGTCTCTTTCTCCAAACTTTGTTGCTTTAACTCTTCTAATCTTTTCTTTATTTCTTCATCCATTTTTGATTTTATAATGTTACCAATACAATTTGTTAAACTATAATTTGCTACTGCTATACAATAATTAATATTAAATTATTAGTATATATTTTTTAATATCACAAAGATTCAAAAATAAAAAATCTAAAATAAAAATTTTATCTGTGTCCTATCCTAAATCAATAAAAAATTATAATGGTATGTGATTTTTAAAATATATTAAAATTAAGTATGATTGATTATATTTAAAATATTTTAATAACGAAGAAAAAAATATGAGGATTAATTTATTTTTGGAAATTTATTGTTTTGTTAATATTATTTAACTATTATATTGTTTTCTTTTTTTTTTTTTTTTTTTTTTTTTTTTCATTTTTTGTTGTTGTTGTGGGTTTAAAAAATTATTATTATTATTACTATTAATAATATTAAAATATGATATTGGTATTATTACTATTTATATGTGTTTTTGTTTTTATTAAATCTAGATTTGAAAATGTTTACAGTAAATATTAAACTTACTTTATATAGAGAATCGAATTTCAATATATTTATATATATGTATATAATATTATTAATTATCAATATTATGATTTATACTATTACAATTGTGTTTGAGTTTGTTTTAAATTTTTACTGAAATAATAATAAAAAATTTAAAACAAAAAAAATAGTGTGTATATTATGTAGGTGGGTAATTATTATTATTATTAAATAATTTATTTTATTTTTATTAATTAGTTTTTGAGAAAATAAATAGATTTTTGAACATAAAGTGCCAAAAAAATAAAAAAATTTTATAAAATTTTTTTTTTTTTTAAATTTATTTTAAAATTTTATTTTCACACAAATATGAATAATACAGTTAACTTTGATAGTTAATGTTACAATTGATTAAAATAAAAAAGAAAGAGGTCCTTGTTATATGCTTAGTAATGGGTATTTAGTTCAAGGTATAGACTATTAAGGAAATTTATATATTATCTCAATGTGAATGTCATAAAGTGCTCCTCCATGAATTTTGTAATGTTTACAACCAAAATTTTGCTTTTTTTTTTGAAATTTTTTTTTTTTTAAAAATTTTTTCTTCGACACTTTAAGGTTTAAAAAAAACTTCTTTTTATCGTTCATCATTATGCGTATAATTTGATATAGTGTTGTGGATGATGTTGAAAAATCAATCATCAGAATCATCTTCAATAGTTTGGGATACTTTCCTTAAATTCAAAATGTAAAAGGTGTTGAAGTTCAATATGCACTTTGTAGTAAATGTCCACAATTCGATAATCCGTCAAAAGAATTCGAATCAAAAGTTGATTTTAAATCATGGTTAAAAAATAAACATTTTAAATCAGTGGTTTATGATAAAATATATAATTTTTTTAAAACAAATAATTTATTTATTTATTTATTTATTTATTTATTTATTTTTTATTTATTTTTTTATGTATTTTTTTATTTATTTGAATCTATTGAGTAAACCGCCCATTTGCGGCAGAGGGCCGGAGCCTTAGTCCAAAGTAATTTGAAGCATGTTTTAATTAATAGTTAATTTAATAAAGAAAATAGCAATAACCTCAAATATAAAAGAAACTATTTTTTACAATCAATAATAAACCCAATATAATATATATTAAATTAAAAAACTTATCGAAAGTATTCTTTATTTATCGGCTTTAAATTAACTTATAAAACCGATTTATATAAACCATTGTCTCTGATATGTTGAATTAATAAGTCAAGTTGAGGATTTAAAGAGAATGTATCTGAATTACCAATAAAAATGCATTGTTTCTTTGAACGTGTAATTGAAAATTGGACCATTCTGTTTATTTCTTCAAGATTTCTTATTTTGTGTGGAGAGTTGTTTGAACGAACTGTTGAAATGAAAATGATTTCTATTTCTCTTCCTTCAAACTGTTTAGGGGTACCGACTTCGACATCAGGGTATTGGCTAGAAAGTTTTAATTTTAATAATTTAATTTGACAATTAGATAGTGTAATAATACCAATATCCTTTTGATCAACACCAGATTTGATTAGGTTTTCTAAATGCTTTTGAATAATGGTAACTTCACCTTCATTTGAAATGCACTCTTCATCATTGGGAACATCTTGGTTTTCTTCCATATCACAACCACTAGTGTCGATCATTGTTAGTGGTGGTTGGTCATTGTTTTTATCACCAGTGCTGTTATTGCTTGAACTATTCATTAAACTGATTATGTGGTTATTACGATAGTTTTTTGTTAAAGTTGTAATATTTTTAGAATTGATGGTTTGATGATTAAAAGTTGTGAGATTTTGAACAGGGATGCAATAGACTGAATCAGAACTGTCGGTAATAATATAATCGACTTTTAAATCTTTGAGGTATGGTGAAGATAATTCCTTAGTTGAAGTTAAAATAACATTTGAATCTTTTAAAACTTGGTTTGCGAATGACTTTTCAGTTTTTACTAGTTCTTCTAAAAGTTGATTTATCTTGTTTTTGGCATTTTCCTTTTCTTCTTCTTTAATAAAAATTAAATTGTAAAATAAGGAGTCAATCTCTTTTCTGGATTCTCTAATAACTTGATAAGAGTATTCATCATTTAGAATTTTATTATCTAAAAAGTAGTTTGATAACCTTGGGGAATAAATGGATGATGGTTGACCAATGGCAGTTGGGTTCAAAGAGGGGCACTCTTTTTTAAATTCAAAAAGCTTATCCAAAATGCTATCTAAAGAGACTTGGGATTTGCTGCAAATTAAAACCTTGTTACCATTTTTAATTAACTGGAGAACCAATTCGATCATAGTTGTAGTTTTGCCGGTACCTGGTAAACCCTTGATTTCAGATGCTTCGTCTGGTGTTGCTAAAATTGAATTAACGGTATCCATTTGAGTCTGATCTAGTGTTTTGGAAATTGGTTTGAATGATGCAGCAGGGGCAGAGTAGAGGTTATCAGTGCTTCTACTATTTTGAATTGATTTTAAAATTTCTAAAGATTCTTCTACAGACTTTTCAGTTTCTTGATCATTTGGATTTAATTTGTCAATTGAAAAGGTAAGAAATTCATGTTCTAAAGGTGGGAAATAAGTGTTTAAATCTGTTGAAATAGTGATTTCAGATTTTTCAATCTTATAAACTATACCTTTAAATTCATAATCTTTTCCATATTTTGATTTTGAATTTCTAATGCCTACATGGTCACCATTCTTTAGTTTTGTTGGAGGTAATTCATTTGGAAGTTCATCTTGTTCTAATACATAGTTACTTGAAAGAGAGTTTGGAAGTACGAATTTTATTAATACAGTACCACCTAAGCCATAACTAGTACTACCATATCTTAGTTTATTGATAATAACACCTTTTAATTCTAATTCTTTATTTGTTAATTTTTCCATTTGTTTTTTATTATTATGATTTTAAATTTTATTTATGTATTTTTTTATATATTTTTATTTGTGAAAAACTTTTATTTATATTTATTTTATATTTTATATTTTATATTTTTTTTGGAGTAAATAATTTTTATTTTTATCTTAAAATAAATATTTTATTTTTTTACCATAAAATTACATTTTTAATAATTATTTTTGAAAATACTGAAAATTTGAGTGAAACAGTATCATCCATCGAAAACCAAAAAAAAATTCGAAAATTTGAGTGAAACAGTATTACCGAGCGAAAACCAAAAAAAATTCGATGGAAATTAAAAAAAATATTCATTTAAAACCCAAATTTTTTTTTTTTTAAATTTCTCATTATTTTTTTTTTTATACATTAACCCCATTTCTTTTTTATAACATTTTTAGAGATTCTGATGAAATCAAATGTTTTGTAAAAACAATTATTCATAGTAATATTTTGAGGAAAATTTTTTTTTAAAAAAATATTACAATGAAAAACCCAAAAACATTTTCTATACAGCGAGATAAATTAAAAAGTTTAAATTTTTTTAAAAATACAATTTTTTTATAAAAAGTATTAATTTATTTATTTATTTATTGATTAATCAAATTTTTTTTTTTTTTTTTTTTTTTTGATAATAATTTGGATTGATTATATAAAAATGTAATGGTACTACTTGTATATTTATATTAATATATTATTTAAAGTAAAAAGTTTAAAAGAGCAGATGAAACTAATAAAACTAATGAATAACCAACAACTGATGAGGATGATGATGATGAATGTGATGATGATTCAGCAGCAGTCTTACAGGCAACGCTAAGAGTATCGGTAACCTTAACTTTGGCATCATCAGCTAAACAAACAATAGCGGTGGTGGATGTAGCAGTTTCAGCGCAACCTTCTTTTTCGAATGAGCTTACACTGTAACCATTAACAGTACCAGCAACAGCTGAAACTTTGGTGTAACCTTTGCAACCAGCTGAACATGTATCTAATTTGGTATCAACAGTTTTGTCACCGCAATCAGTACCAGTGAATGAGAAGGATTCAAATGATTCAATTTCAACTGGAGCAGAGCAGGCAACTTCTAAGCCATTAACAGTTGATTTACCATCTTTGCAGTCGAATGAAGCAGCAGCAATGGTTTCATAAACTTTGGTACAGGCATCATCAGTGTAGATGGTTTCGGTGTATTGGTTTGAGGCATATTTAACTTGAGCGTATAAGATGGCATCTTCAACTTTGTCACAGTAAACATTGCAACTGTCGATGGTTAAAACATTATTTGGGGCAGTACATGGACTAGTAGCGGTACCGGTGATGGTGAATTGGGTGAAAACTGAAACACTTGACATTTTTTTATTTAATTTAAATTATTTAAAATTTATTTATTTATTTATTTATTTATTTAATATTTATTTATTACAAAATGAAAAAAAATAAAATAAAATTTTTCTATTTATCTTTTTTTTTTTTCCTTACATTTACAATTATTTTTTATTTTATTATTATTTTATTTTATTAAAATCAAAACGTGTTTATTAAGATAAAAATTAAGTTTCTCTTTATTTTTTGGGAGGAACAGAGAGACTTTAACAAAAAAAAAACAATCCGTTTTATTTTTAAAAAAAAATTTTTTATATGTATTTGAGGTTTTTTTTTTATAATTAGTTGAAACACATTTGCAACCAGACGTGGACTTTAATTGCTTTAAAAAAAAAAAAAGGAAATCAAAATCAAAATTACATTACAATTGTTTTTTGTTTATTTTTTTATAAATATTTACTCTATACCAATTTTTTTTTATTTTTATTTATTTTTAAATTTTTTTTTATACAGATGTCAGCAATAGATTTAGATCTTATAATTCGTTCATGTTGCCATATAATCAAATTATAAATATTTTAAAAAAAATTTTATTATAAAAGCCACCGTTTAAACACGTTTGCAAATCAAATTTTTAATTTTTTTTTTTTATTTTTTTTTTTTTTATTTAGAATATGTTTTTTTTGAAATTTTAAAAATTTGAGTTTTTATTCTTTTTACAAAAGTACTATTGATACAATTTGAGTTTTCATTTTTTTACATTTTAATAATTCGAATTTAAAGTTCTTGTTTTATTGAATTTTGATAAAAAATGAAATAAAAATCTAAAAAAATAAATTCTAAAAAAAATTAAACAACCAGTGTTTTTATGAGTAAAAAAATAAAATTATTATTATTATTTTTTGTTTTAATTAATTTATTTTATATATCTTTTTTAATTAAATGAATTACTTTGAATTAAAAAAAAAAAATATTAAATAAATAAATAAAAAAATAAGGGTCTCAGGTAGGTTTATTATAATTTATAGAAAAAGAATTTGAATATATAATGTACATTCTCTTTTAATAAATATATTTTATTTTAAAGTTTTATTATTATATACTTGGTTTAGAACTTTTGAATCTGTATGCAATTATCATAAATACAAAAATAAATAAAGACATTACAGCAGCAAATACTAAAAATTCTACCCATTGTTTTCCTAAATTAACGGCAGATACAATAAATACGACAAAAATATTACCAAGAGATACTGCTAATAACCATCCACTCATAATAATGGCTTTCATTGATGGAGGTGCTTCTGAATATGCAAATTCTAAACCTGGTATACTGATTAAAATTTCGCCAATTGTCAATATTAAATATTGTGGTAACTGAAGCCAAATTGAAATTGTTCCTGGTGGGTTTTTATCGATTGCTATTTGTAAAAACATGGAAATAATAAAAGATGCAACTGCCAACCACATTCCAATAGCCATCTTTATTAATGGTTTAAAGTTAATACCAAAGCTTTTCAATGGTTTATATATAACATATTCTACAATTGGAATAAACATCATAATGAAGAGTGGGTTCAATGCTTGGATTTGTTCTGCTTCTAAACATAACCATGTTACTTTTTTACCAAATACACACAAATCTAATGACTCTGCTTGATAGGTCCATCTACTACCAGTTTGATCGTAAAGTGCCCAAAAAAATGGTAATGGAATAAAAACGGTAAGTACATTTAATGCACACTTGATACTATCGACAACATCAGTATCGTATTCTACTTTAGCACTATCTAACCAACTTTTATCATCGTTGTTAATAGCATCAAAAGAATTATAAAAAACGGTTCCAGTAATCTTTGCTTTTAATCTTTTTAATTTTTCTTTAATTGCAAAACCAATAACTTTAGCGGCAGTTAATAAGATTGATTCGGTAACAGGTCTTTTTACATATGAACCAGAACCAGCAACAAAAATAATAGTAGAAATTGTTAAAAACACAGCTGGAATACCAAATGCTAACCAATAACCAACATAACGCTTTAATAATGGAACAAATATAGTTGCTAATAAACTACCAAGATTAATACACCAATAAAAAATTTGGAATAATTTTTCTAACAAATGTGATTGATTTTTTTTTAATTGATCACCAGCAAATGTCGAAATTAAAGGTTTAATACCACCAGTACCCATGGCAATTAAAACTAAAGCAATAGCAATACCCCAGGGCGATCTATGACCAGGCTCACCTCCAGTTATACCATCAATAGATGTCACCGATAAAAAAGTGCTACCTACAACATATATAATACTAAAATATAAAATAGTTTTAAACTTTCCAAGCACCCCATCACCAAGGTATGCTCCAAGTAAAGGACTATTTTGTAAATTAATAAATAAATAAAAAAATTAATATGTTGGATTTTTATTGAAAAATTTTATAAAAATAACACTTACAAAGCATATGCTAAAAAATTAAAAGTGTGTACAATTGATGTGGATGTATTTTTACTGTATCCCATATAACTGTTTAGGTAGATACTCAAAATACTTTTATTTCCATAATATGAAAATCTTTCACCTATTTCATTTAAAAGAATGTACCTAAAGCTAGTTGGAAATTTATCTGCTTGATCTGGTGACTCATCCTGTATTAATGGTGAGTCTTCATTTTCATTATAGTTGTTTTTAAACTTTTCATTTGTTTTCATTTTTTATAATTCTATATTTTTTATTGTTTAATGAACTATTATTTCTATATTTTTTTTTTTTTTAGTTTAAACAAAAAATTAATTTTAAATAAACAAAAAAAAAACATTTTATACTTTTCTATATTTTTTTTTTTTTACTTTATATAAATAAAAAAATAATAAAAAAAAAGTAAATAATTAAATGTCATATTTTTATTACCAGATATCTGGGTAAAAAAAAATAAATTATTTTTTTTAAATTTAAATTTTCAAAAATATTTTTGCATTATTTCTAAATAATAAATAATTCATGACAAACAACGAAAGGTTTCAATTGTAAAGGCCAGTACTGGTATTTTTAGCTACAGTTTTTGGTTTGTAGAATAACCCTTAAAGAAATCACCTGAATAAATATTTTTTTTACACAGAAATAATAATTAAAAAAAAAATAAAAAAAAAAATAAAAAAAGAAGTTAATAAAAACTATAAAAAAATAAATTATTAAATTTCTTTTGATAAATATTTCTTTACAACTTTTTTAAAAAATGAATATTTTAAAAAATTATTTGTAATAATACACAAAGTTTATTATTTTTTTTTTTAAATTAAATTACTTTCTAACTCGATTGCTCTATAATCTCCATCTGGATCATCATTACTGTCAATGATTACAAATCTATCACCTAAGCTGCTATCCTGAGTTAAAATTGAATTTTCATCTTCGTCTTTACTTGATTTAAATTGGTTATCTTGATTGTTTGAAGCAGTGGAGCTTTTGAATTTATACGCAATGTACATATAAACAAAAATAAATAGAGACATTACAACAGCAAATACTAAAAATTCTACCCATTGTTTTCCTAAATTAACTGCAGATACAATAAATACGACAAAAATATTACCAAGAGATACTGCTAATAACCATCCACTCATAATAATGGCTTTCATTGATGGAGGTGCTTCTGAATATGCAAATTCTAAACCTGGTATACTGATTAAAATTTCGCCAATTGTTAAAACTAAATATTGTGGTAACTGAAGCCAAATTGAAATTGTTCCTGGTGGATTTTTATCGATTGCTATTTGTAAAAACATTGATATGATGAAAGACAAAACGGCCAGCCACATTCCAATAGCCATCTTTATTAATGGTTTAAAGTTAATACCAAATCTTTTCAATGGTTTATATATAACATATTCTACAATTGGAATAAACATCATGATGAAAAGTGGGTTCAATGCTTGGATTTGTTCTGCTTCTAAACACAACCATGTTACTTTTTTACCAAATACACACAAATCTAATGATTCTGCTTGATAGGTCCATCTACTACCAGTTTGATCATAAATTGCCCAAAAAAATGGTAATGGAATAAAAACGGTAAGTACATTTAATGCACACTTTATACTATCGACAGTATCTGGATCGTATTGTACTTTTGATAGATCTAACCAGCTTTTATCCTCACCGTTGTTTCTATCGAATGGATTATTATAAACTGTTCTCTTGAAATACTTTGCTTTAAACTGTCTGTATTTTTCCCTAATTGCAAAACCAACTACTTTTGCGGCAGTTAATAAGATTGATTCGGTAACAGGTCGTTTGACATAATGACTTGAGCCAGATACAAAAATAATAGTAGAAATTGTTAAAAACACAGCTGGAATACCAAATGCTAACCAATAACCAACATAACGCTTTAATAATGGAACTGATACTGTAGCAAATAGACTACCAAGATTAACACACCAATAAAAAATTTGAAATAGTCTTTCTAACAAATGTGATTGATTTCTTTTTAATTGATCACCAGCAAATGTCGAAATTAAAGGTTTAATACCACCAGTACCCATGGCAATAAGGAACAAACCTATTGCAATACCCCAGGGCGATCTATGACCAGGCTCACTTCCAGTGACTCCATCAATAGATGTCACTGATAAAAATATACTTCCTATAACATATATAATACTAAAATAAAAAATAGTTTTAAACTTTCCAAGCACCCCATCACCAAGGTATGCTCCAAGTAAAGGACTATTTTATAAAATAATAAATAAAAAAAATTAAAATATATATTAGAATTTATTTATTTTTAATATATATTACTATTATTATTTCTACCTACAAAGCATATGCAACAAAATTAAAAGTGTGTACAATTGATGTGGATGTGTCTTCGCTATAGCCCATATACGTATTGAGGTAAAGAGCCAACAAAACTTTGTTTCCATAATATGAAAAACGTTCGCATATCTCATTACCTAAAATAAACCTAAAAGACTTTGGGAATTTATTTGCTAATTCTGGTGATTCATCTTCAAATAATGTTGAATCTTCGGGTTTCTGTTTGATTTTTTAATTTATGATATGATTCATTTGATTTCATTATTATTTTTAAATATATATAATTATATAATAAAAAAAAATTATTTTATTATTTTTTTATTATTTTTTAATATTTTTAAGATATTTTTTATTTTTTGGTAAAAGCAGAGCTTTAATAAATTTAATTTGAATTTAAATTTGAATTTGGAAAAATTAATCTAAAATAAATAAAAATAAAAAAAAAGAGAATAATTTATATTATTTTAAAAATACATATATTTATATATAGTATAAAATAAACTTTAAAAAAAAAAGGTATTGAAAGAAAATTTTTTAAAGGTGACATTGTACAGATTTATATAAAAAAAATTAAATAAAATAAAATAAAATTTTAAAAAAAATAAAAAAATATTATTTTTTTTTTTTTTTTTTTTTTTTAATTTCATTTTTTTATATTTATTTTTTATAATAAAAATCTATTTATAATAATTCAATAGTTAACATGAATGATAAAAATGAAAATAATAAAGATAATAACAACAGTAATAATAATAATATAGATTCCATGCCACCACCCTCAATGCCACCACCTTCTTTGTTACCAAATAAAAATGAAGGCCAAATGGCGCCACCCTCAATGCCACCACCTTCACTAACACCTCAAAAAAAACAATCTCCACAACAGCAGCAACAGCCTAAAGTTGATTTAATATATAAAGAACCAGAATGGAGTATGGTCAATAAAAATATGAAATTAAGTTTTGAAGTAATTAAAAGTGGCACAATAATTGAGAATATAGATTTAAACTCCAAACCTTTTTATTTAGTTGGTAGACTACCTGTATGCGATATACCTTTAGAACACCCAGTAAATATTCAACAGTTTAATGATTTTATATCTGTTTATCTTTAATTAACATAATAATATATTTTTTTAGACAATTAGTAGACAACATGCAGTTATTCAACATAAACCTGGTGGATATTTATTTTTATTCGATTTAGCAAGTACTCATGGTTCAATGATAAACAAACAGAAATGCAAACCAAATGTATATATACCAATCAAATCTGGGGATGTTATAAAGTTTGGTGAATCAACAAGACTATTTGTACTAGATGGTCCATCAAATATGAAAACTGAAGTAGATCAACAACAAAAAGAAAATCAAGATCAATTAGAAAAACAAAAGAAAATTTTAGAAAAAGAAAAACAACAAAAATCATTTATTTCTTTATATACATCAAATAGCGCAGGTAATAAAAACAATATGGATGAAATATCAAAAACAATACACGAAAACAGAGATATTGATCACGATGATGAAATTAGAGAACATTACGAAGGCAATCATATCAATAATGAAGATGACTTTGAAAATGATTTAGATAATTCAAAAACAAGATCCTCAAAGAAAAATATTGATGATAACGATGAAGATAATGAAGAATCATTCTATGATAGAACCAAAGAAATGAAAAACAAATTAAATAAACAATTAAAGAATTTAGACACTTTGGAATTAATCGAAAAAAGAAAATCTTTAGAAATTGAAAAGTATTTATTACAAAAACAATTTAAGGAATCAACATTAATTAAAGTTAAAGACAAAGAAGAAGAAGAAGAAGATTCACTCGATCAATTTATGAATGAAAACAATCAAACATTAAAGAAAACTGTACAGCAAAAGATTATGTCATCATTAATAGATATAGAAAATCAAATAAATCAAATAGAATCAATTTTACATTCAAAACCAGATTTTAAAAAATATAGCAGTTCATTAGAAAACTCAATTAAATCGATTAAAGAAAATGGTTCTGATTTATCAACTATAAACCAATCCAATAATAATAATAATAATAATAATAATAATAATAATAATAATAATAATAATAATAATAATAATAATAATAATAATAATAATAATAATAATAATAATAATAATAATAACAATAACAATAATAATAAAAGCAATGAAAATGAAAATAACTCATCAATGCCACCTCCACCTCCACCAGATTATGTAGCAACCACAAAATCAATTAGTACAATTAATAGAATGATGTTTGGTGATGACGATCATGAAAAGAAAAAAGATTCACTAAAATCAACTGATAAATTAGATAGTAATATACCCGAACAATACAAAACTAAAGAATCAAACAAAAAGAGAAATTTACCACCACCCACAATCGACACTAAAAAATTAAAGCAAAAACAAGAAACTGAAATTGTAGATTTAATCTCAAAAGAAAATAATGATGATACCCCAGTCAATAGGTATGGTTACTAAAAAAAAAAAAGTTATTTATAAAAATTAAAATAATAAAATAATAAAATAATAAAATAATAAAATAAATAAATAAATAAATCAATTAAAGATTTATTTTATTCTTTATTTTTTTAAATGTCGAGGTTTCTAAAAAATTAAGTCGTTAAAATATGCTCATGCAGTAAATCATCACAAACGGTCGCCCAACAATATTTAAAATTTACACAAAAAAAAAAAAAAACAATGAAAAAAAGGAAAATAAAATTTCCCCTGTGGTGTTTTTTTTTTTTCTCACCATATTTTAAAAGGGTTGCGGTAATATCTTTTTATTTTATTTTTTTATTTTTTTTTTAAAATTTTTTTCATAAAATTATTTTTTTTAATTTTATAAAAAAAAATAATTTTAAAAAATTTTTAAATAATTTTAAACACACAAATAAAAAAAAATGAAATATATAGCAACATTATTTATTATAGCATTAATATTTATAGGCTTTATTAAATCCCATGAAATTATAATAGGGGAAAGGGCCAGAAACTCATTTAATAAATTAGAAAAAGATTTCCCACACGGAGAAGGCCTCCAAATCAGCTGTGATGTTTGCAGAATTGGTGCATCACTTTTAGAAGATTATATAAAGGTATTTATCATATTTAATAGATATATTTTTAAAAATAAAAAAATAAAAAAAATAAAAAAATAAAAAAATAAAAAAAATAAAAAAATAAAAAAATTAAAAAGATAATTAACTCTCTTCCAAATTATTATTATAGAGCAATACCTCAACTAGTGTTATGGTTAAGGGTTTAGCTGAACTTTGTATTAAATCTGGGGAAGAGCAACCAGAAGTTGTAAGTATTCTTTTTAAAAATAATCTGAATAATATTAATAATTATTAATAATATTTTTTTTCAGTGTACAGGTATTTTAAATAATTATGTACCAATTATTGTCGATGTTTTAATACAATCAGATTTTACACCAACAGAATTATGTGGATATTTTAAAATTTGCTCAGATTATGGCAGCGATAATCAAGATATTGTAAAGGAAAGACAACAATCATCATTTTCAAATCCACACGCAGTAGGATCAACTAAAAAAGAATATAAGGATATTACCACACAAGAACCATTAGTTAAAAATTTAAAGACTAATAGTACAATTGGTTACTTTTTACAACTTACCGATATTCACTTTGATCCAGATTATAAAGTTGGTTCAAATCCAAATTGCGGTAGACCATTATGCTGCAGAGATGGTACTGGTGATGCCGGTGTCATTGGTCATTATCTTTGTGATATTCCACTTTCAACTGTACAATTAATTTTCAACCACTTACAAACTTTAACTGATCAAATAGGTATGTAATATTATTTATTAATAAACAAACAAATCAATAAAGCAAATAAAATACTAACATATGAAATCATATTTTGGTTATGTAATCTATAGATTTTATTATTTGGACTGGTGATAATCCACCACATAACGTTTGGGAACAAAGTCAAACTCAACAAGAATTTGCAACTCAAACTTTAGCTCAATTAATTTTAAAGACATTCCCAAATACCCCAGTTTTCCCAGTTATTGGTAATCACGAAGCCTATCCATCTGATCAATATGTTTTACCAAATACTCAATGGTTATTAGATTCACTCTATACCTATTGGATGCCATGGTTAGACACTGATGCACTCGAATCAGTCAAGGAATATGGTTACTATACTACTTTACTCCGTCCTGGTCTTCGTGTCATGTGTTTAAATACTTTAGAAAACGATATGATTAATTTCTATAATCTTTTACCAACCTATCTTAAGGGTCCAAACAATCAATCAGATTGGATGATCAATACTTTAGAACAAGCCGAAGGCAATGGTGAGAAAGTTTTAATTCTTGGTCATATTCCATGCACCGTTAAATCAGCCTCAACTGATCAATGGTGTGCAATGTACGAGCAAGTAGTTTCCCAATTCTCCGATGTCATCGTTGGTCAAATCTATGGTCATACCCATTATGATCAATTCAATGTCTTCTCTGATGTCGAAACCCACACTAAACCAACTGGTATGAATTACATTGCTCCATCTATGACAACTTACCAAAACCACGAACCAGGCTATCGTATCTACGAATTTGACTACTCTACCAACCAAATCATCAACTATTATCAATACCATGCCAACATCACTGATGCCAACAAGAGTGGTCAAATTACATTCGATTTAATTTATAGTGCCAAGGAACTTTATAACCTTCCAGATCTTACACCAGCCTCATGGTATAATTTAGCCACCCAAATGAAAACCAATACAACCCTCTTTATGGACTACTTTACCAATCTCTCATCTTCACCAGATAAAGAATCATGCGATCAATCATGTCAAACTAAATGGGTTTGTCAAATCTTTGGTATTACATCAACTGAATTTGATAAATGCTATGGTGTTTAAATATAATAATAAATAAATAATAATAAAAAATAAATAATAGTAGTAATAATAATAATAATAATAATAATAATAATAATAATAATAATAATAATAATAATAATGATCATCATCATCAACATTTCAATAATATTTTAAATTTTCAAATAATAATAATATTTAATTCTATCGCATTATAGTAATAATAGTTTTATTGTATTATCAACATATAAGTTTTTTTTTTTTAAAAATTTTCAAAATTTTTTCTTTCATTTTTTTTTATAAAACTAAATAAATAAATCTTTATTTAAAGTCATATGAACATAAATTTACTTTAAAGGTTTTTCTCTTTTTTTCCTAATTATATTTTATAATTTTTAAATCATCTTTTATTTTAATTTTTATTTTGTTTTTTATTTTATTTTTTTTTTTTTTTTTTTTTTTTTTTTTTTTAATTTTTTTTTTTTTTTAATTTTTTTTTTGTAATTTTTTTATAAATTTTTTTTTTATAATTTATTTCATTTTTATAAAAAAAACAATTGAATAATGATCTTATAAATTAAATAGGCATTTTATTGGGATTATGATTTTTAATAACAAATAAAACAAACAGCATATTTCACCCATTGTAAAAAGTAAATAGTTTCGAAGAATAACAATAAAGCAATCAATATTATAACAACAAAAAAGTCTATAATAATACTAGAATATTAATATCAATAATAAATCAAACAAATCAAATCAAATCAAATCAAATCAATCAATAATATAATATATAAATAAAAAATGAATCATCCATATGGTCATCATCATTTTCATAACCAAGGACCACCGGGTATGCCACCACCCGGCATGATTATGAAAGGACCACCTGGTATGCCACCACCATATGGATTTCCACCAAACATGCCACCACCATATAGCTTCCCACCACCATATGGATTTCCACCTGGTATGCCACCACCACCTCATTCAAATGCCCCACCATATGGTTTTCAACCCCCACCAGCTGGTAGAGGTTTAGGGCCACCTTCACAACAACAACAGCAACCACTACCAAATAAATTTTCGAATCAAATTATACCACCACAACCAATAATTCCTACACCAACAAGTCACTCAATCAATGGTAATAATAGTTTTGAAAATAAAATAAATAATGGCGTTTTACAAATACCAACACCAGCAAATAGTAATACCACAACACCAACAGCAGCAGCAGCAACAAATTTAAGTACATCACAAAACAATATAAATAAAGATATTAACAGCACCAATACAACAGCGTATATTGGTAAAATTCCAACACTTTTAGAAGATTCATTTATAAAGAGTTTATTAGATCTATGTGGCAAAGTTGTAAATTGGAAAAGAGCATCCGAAACCAATGGCAAATTAAAGGCATTTGGATTTTGTACATTTGAACATGCTGAAGGCGCATTTAAAGCATTAAAAATTTTAAACGAATTTCAAGTCGATGGTGAAGGTGGTAAATTAATGGTTAAAGTTGATATCACTCAAAAGTTTTATAGCGACTATTTAGAGAAGCAAGTTGGAGGAATAAAGTCTGATGACTCACCAGAGGATCTAATACTTCGTGAAAAAATTAAAACATTGGTCGAAAAAAATTTACCAAATATTCAAGATAAGAAAAAAAATATTTCCAATGAAATTAATGTAAGATATATTAATAAATCAATTATAAAAATGTTGTAGTATAATACTAATTTTTTTTACTATAGGATTTTTATAATAAAGATAGAAGAGATTTAACAAAAGAAGAAAAAATTAAAATTATTGAAAGAGAAAAAGAAAAAGAAAAACAAAGATATAAAGAAAGAGAACTTAAATCAAAAGAAAGAGATCTAAAAGAATTTAAAGAAAGGGAAAGATTATGGGAAAGAAGAGAAAAGAATAAAGAATTGGATAGAGAAGAAGAAAAAGAAAAAGAAAAAGAAAAAGATAAAAGAGAACTACTGTTAAGATTAAAAGAAATGGATGAATATTCAGATACAGATGAAAAGCAAAGAAAGAGACTAAGATCGAGGGATGCCATCAAGCATAGAACAAAAGAAAGAGAAGATGATGAAAAGGATCGTATAAAAGAACAAATTGAAATCCAAGAGCAACTATTAAAGAAACAAAAAGAAGACGAATTAAATAAGATTCAATTGGGCGGATTTTCATCATCATTAGCAAATAAAAAAGTTAAATTGGTAAATAAAGGTTTTGGTACAGAAGATCAAGATGATGATCAAGACGAAACTAACCAATCACTTGCATCATCGTCATCGAATCTAATGAAAAAGAAACAAAATCTACTACCGTTATTAGACCATAATGAAATTGATCAAATTTTAAATCCAAAGCAACAACAAGAAGAAACACTAATGTCAACAAAGGATCTCCAACTTCAAAACATTGCCGCTGAAATTCCAGTAACCGCAGATGAATTATTTAAATTAAAAGTTTCAAATTGGAATGTAATAGATAAACAAATCAATGAGAAAATGAAGCCATGGATCACACAAAAAGTAATAAGCTTTTTTGGTACTCAAGAAAATGAATTCATTGATTTCATTGTCGACCTTTTAGAATCTCATACCGAACCAAATAATATAGTTTTAAAATTAAAAGATGTTTTCGAAGAGAATGCTGAAGATTTTGTATTAAAAATGTGGAGAATGATTTTATTTTTAGATAAAATTTAAATAAAATAAATAAAATAAAATATAAACCATAATAAAATTAATAAAACCTATTTACCAAAGTGTTTTTAAATTTTTTTTTTTTTTTTTTAAGTTTTCAGATTTTAGTTTTTTAAATATCCTCATTAGACTTTAATAAAACCAATTTAAACTCGTCAAGTTCAGAAATTAAATTATTAATAACCTCTGGATTTGACATTGATTGAGATATTTCATATGCTTCATCTAAAAAGAAAAAAAAATTTGGGTTAATATATTTTTAAAAAACTTATTTTTTATTTTTTCTATAATTACCATTGAAAATTTTAGAAACAACATTTCTTATTTTTTTATTTGATCTCGTTTTTGGGAACCCAGTTACAACAACTAAATGCTTTAAAGTTGAATTTGGTAAAAAGTGGGATGTTTCTAGAACATCATTTAATTCTTTTTTTAAACTTGAAAGGAATAAAATTTTATTTTCATCATAAATTGATTTAAATTCTTTTTTTAATATAATAAAACCAATAGGCACTTGTCCATAGTAATCATCTTTCCCGGCTGCAACAATATTTTCTAATATCATTTTATTTTTTTGAATAATATCCTCACACAATGTGTTGTAAACCAAATCGCCACCAACATTAATAACATCATCAACACGAGACATAATATAATAGTTACCATCTTCATCGAATTTACATAAATCACCAGTTCCATAATAACCTGGATATTTATTTAAGTATTTTCTTGAGTATTGCTCTTGATTAACATCTAATAATAAAGTTTGTATACAACTTGGAGGTACCGGCAATTTTATTAGCAACTCACCTATTTCGTTGGGTTTGGCCGGTTCCCTATTTTCAGGGTTTATAACCTTTGTATTAAAACCTGGCACAGGTTTACCACATGAAAAAATTTTAAATGGTATTTGTTGTGACGAACTTGTTATTATACACCAACCTGTTTCAGTTTGACCATAGTTATCAACAACAGGTTTTTTGATAGTTTTTGTAACATAATTAAAAATAGAACTATCTAAAACTTCACCACATAGTATGATTGCTCTTAGTTTATCTAAATTATATTTTAAAATTTCTTTTGCATTTGGGTCTAACTTTTGAAAAGTTCTAAACTCTGTTGGAACCGATAAAAAAAGTGAAGCCTCTGTCATTTCGATAACTCTAAAAACATCCAATGTTGGTACGAATAAATCACCCTCATATAAAACAAATCTACCTCCTATAAATAAAGATGCATATAATAAATTATGACCCAACTGCCACCCTATATCAGATGGTGTAAAAAAAGTTTCACCTGGCGATATTCCATAATTTCTATTGTAAGAATATAGGGCCTGGACTAAAAATCCACCTGCCTCGGCCACTGCACCCTTAGGATGTCCTGTAGTACCACTTGTATACAAAAAGTAAATAGGATCTACCGCATCTAACAACTCGTATTCTAATAAAGGTTCTAATCCGTCAACCAACTCCTTATAATCAATTGTGTTCTCTAATGTTTGATAACCAAGTTCAATTTCTTTATTTTTTTCTAAATATTGAAGTTGTTTTTCTTTATTTATAAAATCAATACGATCCAGCATAATAATAGTTTCAATTTTATGAATCGATTTTTCCAAAGCTTTTTTTATAGTTGGGACATAATGTGTATATTTATTTTCTTTAACACCAAAGTTAACTGTAATCAAAATTTTAGGTTTTAAATGTTCAATTCTTTGTGATAAATTATTAAAATTATATGCAATATAAGTTACACTATGAATAGCACCAATACGTGCACATGACAACATAGCAATTGCACATTCCATCATAGTGGGCATAAAAATTAAAACCTTATCACCCTTCTTAACCCCTAAATTTTTTAAAGCTCTTGAAAAGATACATACTTTTTTCCACAATTCGTTATATGTTAATGTGCTTGATACCTCTAAGGCAGGGCATTCGTGAAACAATGCAATTTGATCACCTCTTTCTGACAAGTGTCTATCCAATGCATTGTTGCATAAATTTAATTTACCACCCTTAAACCACTCAGGTTTATTTTCATTACCACTCCATACTTTGTCATAAATTTTATCCCTATAAAAAAAATTATTTATATAAAATTTAAAAAAAAATAATTAAATAAATTTTAGAAAAAAACTACATAACTAAACTTACCAATTTATATATTTTTTAGATACCTCTTCCCAAAAAGAAATATTATCTTTTTCTGAAAACTCCTTATCATTATAATAGTTAAATGGTTCACTAAGTTTATAAGCCAAGGTTTCCATTTTATTTTATTTTTTCTAAAAGTTATAATATTAATATTAAAAAAAAAAACATTATTTATATTATTCTTCGTTTATTAAAACTAATATTTAAATAATTACTTTCCAAAAGATTTATAGATATGAAGATATTTTTATTACTTAATCAATTTTAATATTTAAAAAAAAAATAAATAAAGTTTGATGTTTATAAAATTTAAAAATACAAATACACTAAAAGAAGTGTTTTACAAAACAAAACTCAATCTATAACCAATCTTTAAATCTAAAAAAAAAAAAAACAAATAAAAAAATAAAAGAAATTATTCCGTGTTGGGAACTATTATATATTAATAAACTATAATAAAAGGATATATAAATTGGGATAGAAAAAAATAAAAAATTTAAATATTAATCGAAAATAATAAAAATATAAAAAAAAATAATAAAGACAATAAAAATTTTTAGTTTCTTTTTTTAAAATTAATTTAATTTATAATATAGCAAAAAGATTAATTTATTTATTTCTTTTTGGAGGCGGCAGCACCTTTACCTGGGGCTTTCTTGGTAACACCTTTGATGACACCAACAGCGACGGTTTGTCTCATATCACGGACGGCGAAACGACCGAGTGGTGGGTATTCAGTGAATGATTCAACACACATTGGTCTTGATGGGGTTAATTCGACCATAGCAGCATCACCGTTCTTGAGGACGACTGGTTGATTACCTTCTTTGGCAACGACAGCACCAGTACGACGATCGACTTTGTCGACGATTTCTGAGAATTTACAGGCAATGTGGGCGGTGTGACAATCTAAGACTGGACTGTAACCAGCATGGATTTGACCTGGGTGATTGAGGACGATAACTTGGGCAAGGAATTTTTCAGTTTCTTGTGGTGGATCGTTCTTTGAGTCACCAGCAACCATACCTCTTTTAATATCTTTGACTGAAACGTTTTTAACGTTGAAACCGACATTGTCACCTGGTTGGGCAGATGGTAATTGTTCGTGATGCATTTCGACTGATTTGACTTCAGTTGAGAGACCAGCTGGGGCGAAGGTGACGACCATACCTGGTTTAATGATACCAGTTTCGACACGACCGACTGGGACAGTACCGATACCACCAATCTTGTAGACATCTTGTAATGGAATACGTAATGGTTTTTCGACTGGACGTTTTGGTTCAACGATGGCATCTAAGGCTTCGAGTAAAGTTGGACCAGTGTACCATGGCATGTTGGTTGATCTTTCTAACATGTTATCACCATTCCAACCTGAGATTGGGACGAATGAAACTTTTTCTGGGTTGTAACCGATTTTCTTGATGAAAGATGAGGTTTCTTTGACGATTTCATCATAACGGGCTTTGCTGTAGTTGGTTGATTTTTCATCCATCTTGTTGATAGCAACGATCATTTGTTTGACACCTAAGGTGTAAGCAAGAAGAGCGTGTTCACGAGTTTGACCGTTTTTGGCAATACCAGCTTCGAATTCACCAGTTGGGGAGGCAATGACTAAAACAGCACAATCAGCTTGGGAGGTACCAGTAATCATATTCTTGATGAAATCTCTGTGACCTGGGGCATCAATAATGGTGAAGTAGTATTTGTTGGTTTCGAATTTCCAGAGAGCAATATCGATGGTAATACCTCTTTCTCTTTCGGCTTTTAATTTATCCATAACCCAAGCGTATTTGAAGGATTGTTTACCCATTTCAGCAGCTTCTTTTTCGTATTTTTCAATGACACGTTTATCAATACCACCACATTTGTAGATTAAATGACCGGTGGTGGTTGATTTACCAGCATCGACGTGACCAATAACGACAATATTAATGTGAGTTTTTTCTTTACCCATTGTAACTTACTAAAATAATTAAAAAAATAATATATTAGTATTTATTTTTTTCAAAAAAAAAATTTTAGTTTTATCATATAAAAATTTACTATGTAAAATTCAATTATATGTGTATATATATATATTTATTATAAATTATTAAATTGAATAATGAACAACAAAATAAAAAATAAAAAATTTATAATTTTTTTTGTTATTATTTTTTTAAAATTATTTTTATTATATTAATTATTTTCGGTTATTTTTATGCGAATGTGAATATTATTTTTTTATTTTATTTTTATTTTATTTAAATTGTGTATATAATGCTATTATTGGCTTTGTTATTTTTTTATTTATTTTAATTTCCTTTTGTGTGTTTGTGTGTGTGGTTGTAAAATAATTATTTATTTTTAATCGAGCGTGTATATATAAATATATTTCAACATAGTAATTTTTTTATATGATATATTTTTTTTTTACTACATACTTTTACTGTTGAATGTGAATTAACAATAAAAAAAAAACGCTCTCAGAAAAATATTTATACCCACAGGCCTCAAGTTTTCGAAAAAAAAATTTAAAATTTTTAAAAAAAAAAAAAAAAAAAAAAAAAAAATTACGCATAACTCGCCGGTTTTTTACAAAGACATTTAACAAGGTTTTACACAAAAATTATGTAAAATTTTTAAAAACTCGATATCTACAACGTTTTTAGAAAAAAAATAAAAATAATTTAGATTTTGAGAAAAAATAATTAAAATTAAAACCGTAACAATAATTAATTATCTGTATCTCTTTTAATTTTCCCAAAAGTTTCTTTTATATTTTTATTATTTTATTAATAAAATTATTACAAGCATAACATAATATAATATTATAATAATTAATAAAAATTATAAAATATATAATTATTGAACAGCACTATGTGCGTATTTTTTAATTTTTTTTAATCTTTCTTAAACAAACACAGATATTCATTTTAATATTTATTAATTTCAATATTAAATTAAATTGGAATTAAAATTTAATTTCTTCAATATATATATTTTTAGTTTGTAAAAATACATATATATTTTTTTTTTCTCATGAGAATAAAATAATATTATTTATTTATTTTATAATTATAAGTAAAATTATTATAATTTAAAAAGAAATATATTTAGATTTTTTTATTTCAGTTACAAATGTAAATTGGTTTCGTATGAATATGATTATTTTCTCAAACCATAATCAGATCAGTTATGCACCGTGTTCATTTTTATTTTTTAATTTTTATTTTTTTTATTTTAACAATAAAATAAAATTTAAAATAAAAAACAATAAAATAAAATAAAATAAAAAACCGATATTCAATAAAATTTAAATAAATTTTATTTTTTATTATTATTTATTTATTTATTTATTTATTTAGATAAAAATTATCATTTTTACATTTTTATATTTGTGTTTTGATTTAATTTTTTTTTACAAAAATCAAACGGATATAATCGCTGGCGATGAAATTTTTTTTTTTTTCCATATGAGATCAATAGCGCCCATATGAAAACTATCATAATAATTATTATGAAAAATTTAAAAAAAAATTAAAAAATAAAAAAAAAATTTTAAAATTTTTTTTTTATTTTTTAATTTTTTTTTTTTTAAATTTTTCATTTCATTTTATTTGTTTTTTTTAAATTGTTTTATAATTAATAATATTAAATTAAAATGGATAACGAACCAATTGATTATGAAGAGTTTATAAATTCAATGGAAGATTATGTTCCAACAGTAAAAATCACATAAAATAGATTTGAAAATTTTCACATTTTTTTTACATTTTCATATTTTTTGATATATATTTATTATCAGATTAAATATAATAATAATAATACTATAATCATAATCATTTTTAAAAATAGTTATAGTTATAGTAGTATTTATTTATAATCATATTACTTTTATAATCTTTTTTTTTTAATTATTTTTAATATAGTCATTATAAATTATTAATTATTAATTAATTTTATTTTATTAATTTTTAGATACCGGATGAGGTAGTATCATATTATTTAAATAAAACTGGATTTTCATGTTCAGATATCAAAATTAAAAGATTAATTTCACTAGCAACACAAAAATTTATATCAGATGTTACAAATGACAGTTTGCAATTTTGCAAGATTAGATTACAAGGAACATCAAGAGAAAAAACTAGAAAAGATAAAGCATTAGTATTGACATTGGATGATTTATCACAGGCATTAAGAGAATATGGCATCAACATTAGAAAGCCAGAGTATTTTGCCGAAAATATTCCACCACAAGAGGTCGAAGAGAACCAAGCAAACGCAAATTTATTAAACAATCCAACAACTGCTTTACCAACTACAACTACAACCACAACTACTACAACTACATCAGCTACAAAAGCAGCAGATACAACCAATACAGCAATAGCAAAAGATTTATCTAAAGATTTAAAAGAATCATCAACTAAAGATTCATTAAAAGAATCGACAAATAAAGAAAAGCAATCAAGTATTTTAGAAGAAGACAATAAAGAATCATCTAAAAAGAAACAAAAAGTTAAATAATAATAATAATAAATAATAATAAATAATAATAAATAATAATAATATAGATTGTAATATAGATGGTCATCCTGATAATAGCACTATTATAGATATTATCATATATTTATTGAAATAGAATAAAATTGTATATAATAAAATTAAAATTAAAACAAAGAATCTTTTTTTTTTTTTTTTTCTAATTTTTTCTATTTATAAATATAAAATTATATATTTAAAAACTAAATAACTTTTTTATTTTTTATTTACTTTGTTTTTATTTTATTTCTTTTTATTTAAATTTCCCAAGGATGATTGAAAATCATTCAAAAATTGCATTACTATTTTATGGTGGTTACGTTCTTCCTCGGTTCTTTTAAGTTCATTCTTTACATCACGAGTTTTCTTCAATTCACTCTTTTTAATTTTCTCTATAAGTTTTAGATTTTCGGTGGTGAGTATTTCTTGAGATATAGATTGACTTTGTTTCTCTTCTTCGTGGATTTGATACTGCTTTAATTTCTCTTCATATAGATTTTCGAGTGATTCAATTTTCTCGTTAGATTGTTGTAATAGTTGACGTAGTGTACTGTTTTCAAGCTCTATTTGCATTTTCTTTTTGTCACTGTGAGAGAGTAGTTCTTTGTTTTTTCGATATTCATTTTCAAATTCTAATTGATACTCTTTTCTGACATTTTGTATGGTGGAGATATATTGAGTGTTTAGATGTTCCAATTCGGAATGGTATTTTTGGTCCTTAAGCTCCAGATCTTTTTGTGTGGTCTCTAATAGTTTTTGGTTCTTTTCGGTGATATCTTCAAAAAATTGTAATCTTTTCTTTAGTAACTGATTCTCTTTTTCTAAATTGAAATAGTTCATTTTTATTTGTGCTGTACTGTTGGAGTGGTATTCTATAGTTGCCTCTAAAAGCTGGTTGTTCTTTTTTAATGCTTGATTTGACAGCGAGAGCGTTATACAATCCTTTTTAATGTCATCGATATCATCCTCTAGTCTGTTATTTGCTTTGATTGCTGTTTGTACACGTTTTTCCAATTCTTGTGATTTTCCTGAATATAGTGTATATTTCTCTTTTAATATTGCTATGATTTGGTGCAAGTCATCTAAATTGGTTAACATTGGATCATAATAAAATTCTTCGGTTGCCCAGGGTATTTCTTCTTGTATATTTACATTTCTTTTATTCTTTTTGGAATAAAAGCTACTATTATTATTACTACTAAAATTACTACTATTATTACTATAGTGACTGAAGGTGCTATCATTATCTGTATCATCTTCATCATGATTGATTTTATATGTATATTTTTTTATGTTGTTATTGGGTTTTTTATTATTATTTAAAAGTTGTTTTTCCCAATCGATTTCCATATGAAATTGGTTATCATTATCATCTTCATTATCCGATGTATTGGGTGAGCCTTTGGGTGAGCTTGCTTGCTGCTTCTTTGAGGAGTTGCTATTGTTTTTCTTTAGTTTTTTATTATCTGAAGGATTTTCATCACCAACTGATAGCAATGATTTAAATAGTTGATTTGATTGTAAATTATTATTATGGGTATGATGGTGAGTGTGATGATGATTGTGACCATGATGATTTTGGGTATGGCTATAGTATGGCGGTAATGCATGGGGATAATGACCACTATTGTTAATATTACTATTATTATTCATTGGTTTTTGAGGTTTGTTTTTATATTTATCATTTGGTGAGTTGAAGGTACTGTTACTTATTACTTGATTACTTAATAACATTATATGTTGATCATCGTTAATTGGCTCAACACCATTGTTATTCTTGGTACCAGTATTATATATATTGAAAGAAGAGGATGAGGTTGTGGATGAGGTATTTCTTACAGATGACGAACGTGGTCTATTTGCTGAGGAGGTTGGTACTCTTCTGGGTGACATGGGTGGCGGTTTATTATAAATACCAACAGTGGAGGTATAGTATTTTGGAGGTGATCCATTATTTGGTGAGCCACTACCATTATTCGAGTAAATATATTTTGGAGGTGATGATGAAAGTGGTGAAAATGAAAAGGGTGAGGATGAACCAGAATCAGAGTTTCTGGGTGAGTTGGGTGGTGATGGGAGGTCGGATAGTTGTGATGATGAAGAGTATGAGTTGGAGCGTGATCTTTGCGGTGTGGGTGGAGGTGATGGAGGATTTGATTGTCTAGATTTATCATTACTTCCATAGTTATTTATATTGTCTCCATTATCTTCACCGATTATAAATCCTGCACTATTATTACCAGTGGATGAAAAGTCGCTATAGTTTGGTAATAGTGATTTTGCGATTTGTGAAAACGCTTCTCTAAACTCTTCAAAGTCAATCTCTGAATTTCCATTGCTTGCAATTTGTTTTTGTAAAATCGATATAAAATCATCACTAACCACTACACCAGTTAATGATTTAATCGCATGCTTTAAATCATTATTATCATATTTTTTTAAAAATTCAATATCTGGGTTATTGTTTAAACTGTCATCTTCTTCTACTATAATATGATTATCAACAAGAACAATGTTATTTCCTTCTCCTTGCTCCTCTTTATTATTTTTATTGATATTAATTGTGTTATTGATATTCATTATATTAATATACGATTCTTTTATATATGTTTTCAGTATGTGTATGTTGTAATATTGTTAAAATATTAAATGGGACACATATCTTTAATAAACTTTATATATATTATTTTGTTGCAAGGTAAAAATATTATTATTATATTTATAATTACTTATTTATTATTCTATAATTTTATTTGATTATTCTTTTATTTTGATTATTAAAGTGCTATATTTATGTTTAAAAAAAAAAAACGATAGAGAGATATTTTTATGTTTTTTTTTTTTTTTATTTAAATTTTTATTTAAATTTCTTTTTTTTTTTTTTTTATTTAAAATTTGTGAGTTATTATAAAACAAAGATTAGAATAATGTGGATTTTTTAATACAGTTTTATAATTTTTTAAAGAGTGTGCTATTTTACAATATTTATAAATTATAATTTAATAATGAATTAATAAAAAAAAAATAAAAAAAGAAATATTATAATTTTTTTATTTATTTGGATATGTTGGAATGTGTGTGGAAATATAAAAAAAATTAATAAAAATTTTTTTTTTATTTTTTTTTTAATTTTTTTAATTTTTTTTTTTTTTTTTTTAATTATTTTTATTTTTTATTTTTTTTTTTTTTAAATTATTTTTAAATTTTTTACTTTTTTTATTTTAAATTACATTTTCGTTGTATAATAGATCATTTATTTATTTATTTTCACAATTGGATTTAAATTAGATTGTTACTATAGTTGGGTAGAAAGAATATACACATCAATAGGATCCTAAATTATAAATTACAATAAAAATGTCAGATGTAAATGCAACAGAATCTGAAATGTCAGAGATAAACTCTGAAAATACCAATAACAATCCAACATCTGCAACTTCAAAAATAACTACCCAAGAGATTTTAAAATCTGAAACTCAAAAAGAAAAAGATGAATTTTATTTAAGATATTAGTATGTATAAATATAATATATAAAGTTGACAACTATCGTCGTTTTATACTCCTAACACAAATTAAACTCATCATTTATTATAGCGTTGGTCACAAAGGTAAATATGGCCATGAATTTTTAGAGTTTGAATTTAGATCAGGTAATAAATTAAGATACGCAAATAATTCACATTATAAAAGTGAAAATTTAATTAGAAAAGAAGGTAAGGATAAAGTGTTTAATAATAACAATATTTACAACTTTATTCATTTCATTTATATTAATATTCACTTTTCTACACTATTTATAGTTTGTGTTAGTGACAGCGTTCTTGCAGAAATTAAAAAGATTATTTTAGATTCAGGAATTATGCAGTATGTTTAATTTGAAAATTTTATAGTCACACCACACATCATCTTATTAATATACATTAATTACTTTAATATAATATAGGGAAGATGATAAAGATTGGCCAGAACCAGATATTGTTGGTAAACAAGAGCTTGAAATTGTTTTAAAGAACGAACATATTTCATTTACTACTACTAAAATTGGTTCGTTGATGGATGTCGAAAAAAGTAAAGATCCAGAAGGTTTAAAGGTTATGTTTTATTTAATTCAAGATTTAAAATGTTTAGTATTCTCGCTCATTGGTCTTCATTTTAAGGTATGTATTTTACTTTAATTTTATTATATTTCAAAAATTTTTTGCTTGGAGAGGCGTGGTGTGTGGGTTCTTCAATTTTAGGAGGCATACATGTGGTTTTTTATTTGTGTGGTGTGTGATTTTTTTTTTTACAAAAATGCACCCCTTAAAAAAAAATCAATCTAACAGGTCATCAATCAAACAAAAAAAAAAACCACACAGATGCCTCCTAAAATTTTTTTTTTTTTTAAAATTTATTATTTATCTAAAATCAAATAACTAATTTCTTTTTTTTTTTTTAAAATTATTTGAAAAATATTTTTTTTATTTTTTTTAAAAATTAATTTTAATTAATTTTTATTTATTTAATTATTTTATTTATTTTTTTTTTATTTTTTCGCACGATCTCTATTTTTATTTTAATTTTTTTATAATATTTCAAACCTTTTTTTCACATAAAGATCAAACCCATATAAAAAAAAATAAAAAAAATAATTCCAAAATAATAATTTAAATTTATAAATATTTTTTTTTTTTTTTTTTTTTCTAAAACTTAATTATTATTATTATTTTTTTTTTTCCAAGGACTTAATTATTTTTTTTACAATAACAATATCCATTCACATTATTAACAGTATTTTCTTATAAATACAAAAAGATAACACTTATTATAATAATTTTTTTATAATTCATCGAAATATTTATAAACATATCATTATTTATTTTTTATTCATTTAATTATTTTTACAAAAGTAATAATTATTCTTTTTCCTTTTTATTACAGCACTACAACTACCTTTTTTAAATTAATTCACATTGAAATTAATAAACATCAACCAACAAATTATAAAAAATGGGACTTTTTGACTCTTTAGTATCATGGTATTATGGTGTACCAACTGAGCAACAACAACAGGCCCAGCAAACAGGCCAACCAAGTGCACCACCACAATTTAAAAAAGAGGCATCTTTTTATCCATTAAGCATGGTTCCTAAAAATGATCCAAAGAGAATTCAAAGAGAAAAAGAATTATTGGGTAATCCAGATAAATTAAAAGAAGAGCCATTGCTTTTAACTTATTCCGAAGAGGATTCTGTTCAAATTTTTATGACTGGAATTGTATTATTCTACTTAATTGAAATGGAAATCAATAGAGTTTATTATACCCAAGCTGGAATTAAACTTCAAAGATTAGATGAAGTTAAAGTTAAATATGGTGGTATGTATTGCATTTTTTTAATTTATTTATTTATTTATTTAAAAATCAAAATATTAAAAAATTATTTTTTAATATATTATTTAGATAACGATTATTTTGATATCGATTTAAATTCATACCCAAATATTAAAAGAAAAATGTCATTTGAAAATTTAAATGATGCCACTACAACTCTAATGGAAAATGAAAAGCTAGAAAAGGAACGTATTGAAAAAGAACGATTGGAAAAAGAATTGGCAGAAAAACAACAAAAGGAAATTAAGGAAAAAGCAGAAAAGGACCGTCTTGAAAAAGAAAGACTTGAAAAAGAACGTCTCGAAAAGGAAAAAGCAGAAAAGGACCGTCTCGAAAAAGAAAAAGCACAAAAAGAGGCCAAAGAAAAAGCAGAAAAGGACCGTCTTGAAAAAGAAAAATTAGAAAAAGAGCGTCTCGAAAAGGAAAGATCAGAGAAAGAGGCCAAAGAAAAGGCAGAAAAGGAACGTATTGAAAAGGAAAGACTTGAAAAACAAAGATTAGAAAAGGAAAGATTAGAAAAAGAGGCTAAAGAAAAACAAGAAAAAGATCGTATTGAAAAGGAAAGACTTGAAAAACAAAGATTAGAAAAAGAGGCCAAAGAAAAAGCAGAAAAAGAACGTATCGAAAAGGAAAAACAAGAAAAAGAGGCCAAAGAAAAACAAGAAAAAGAACGTATTGAGAAGGAAAGACTTGAAAAAGAAAGATTAGAAAAGGAAAGATTAGAAAAAGAACGTCTCGAAAAAGAAAGATTACAAAAAGAGGCCAAAGAAAAAGCAGAAAAGGAAAAGCTTGAAAAAGAAAGACTTGAAAAAGAAAAAGCAGAAAAAGAACGTATTGAAAAGGAAAAACTTGAAAAACAAAGATTAGAAAAGGAAAGATTAGAAAAAGAGGCCAAAGAAAAAGCAGAAAAAGAACGTATCGAAAAGGAAAAGCAAGAAAAAGAACGTATCGAAAAGGAAAGACTTGAAAAAGAGCGTTTGGAAAAAGAAAGACTTGAAAAAGAACGTATTGAAAAACAAAGACTTGAAAAAGAGCGTTTAGAAAAAGAAAGATTAGAAAAAGAGGCCAAAGAAAAAGCAGAAAAGGAAAGACTTGAAAAGGAACGTCTTGAAAGGGAAAAACTCGAAAAAGAAAAACTCGAAAAAGAACGTCTTGAAAAAGAGGCCAAAGAAAAAGCAGAAAAGGAAAGACTTGAAAAAGAACGTCTTGAAAAAGAAGCCAAAGAAAAACTCGAAAAAGAACGTTTGGAAAAAGAAAGATTAGAAAAAGAAAAGCAAGAAAAGGAACGTGTTGAAAAAGAAAAACTTGAAAGAGAAAAAGCACAAAAAGAAAAAGAAGAAAAAGAACGTATTGAAAAAGAAAGATTACAAAAGGAAGCTAAAGAAAAAGCTGAAAAAGAACGTATTGAAAAAGAAAAAGCAGAAAAGCAAGAAAAAGAAATAAAAAGAAAGAGAGATCAACAAGAAGACGGTAATAAAGCAAGTCATAAAAAATTACAACATTTAACATTAGAAAGACCAGGTCAAAAGGGTCGTAAGAAACCAACTAAAAGACTTTCAGAGCATCCAGCAATCAAAGAAGTTATTTCATATTCAAAATCAAACGATGAAGATGAACAATCAACATCATCAGTCTCAAATAATGCACCAAAACCATCTGTTTCACCAAATAAATTTGGTGGTGTTCCAATGATGCCAATGGGTATGGGTGGATTTGACCCATCCTCCGTAAAATTAAAAAAGGCTGCTCCAAGACCACCACCAAGTGGCGGTGTACCAGTCATGATTCCAGAGGGTATCGATTTAGCAGCAGTTAAATTAAAAAAAGCTCCAGGCTCAGTTAACACTGGCAAATAGTTAACCAATCAAAACACTAAATGTATAAAAATTTGGTCAATATGTTTCTTTATATAATTATCATTCATTTCAATATTTAATAATAATCTTTTAATAATAATAAAATCAATCAAAAAAAAAAAAGAAAAAAAAAAAAGAAAAAATAAAAATCAAATTAAAACTTTCTTGTTGTATTAGTATAATAGTCAAATCAATAATATATTTAAATTATAAATTATAAATCATAAATCATAAATCATAAATCATAAATCATCAAATAAAATAGTAATATTAATATTAAATTAAAAATAAAGTTTTATTTTATTTGAAAAAAAAAAAAATTATTTGGTTTTAAAATTAAAATTAGTTTTTTAATATAGTTTTATCATTTATAACATTGGTTTATTTATTATTTCATTTCCAAGATAATTCTTGTATAACTTTAGTATTGTAATCAAAATTCTATGACGCATCACCCCCTCTCATTTTTAGCACTAAAAAAAAATTAAAAAATTAAAATTTTAAAAAAATTTATTTTTATTAAAAAAATAAAAAAGAAAATTTTTTTTTTTCACTTTATTAAAAAATAAATAAAACAATAAACATTCAAAATGAAGATTAAAAAAATAACATTTTTTTTAATTGTAATCATTTTAATAAGTTGTTTTATAACACAATGTATAAGTACTAAAGACATAAATAATAAAAATAATAATAAAAATAAAAACCAAAATAATAATGAAAATAAAATAAAAGAAAATATAAATAAAGATACTAATACAAATAGCAACAATAACGATAATATCAATAGCAACAACAATAATAATAATAACAACAATAAAAACAATAATAATAATAAAGAAGGTAATGGTGCTAATGGGATTGTATTTAATAAAGAAATATTAGATTTTGTAAAAGAACTTAAAAAAGCTAGTGATAATAAACCATCATCAAATAAAGAAGAAAATACTATTAGTGATAGCAGTGATAGCGAAAATTTAAAAGATAATAATAATAATAATAACAATAATAAAGAAATTAGTTTTAAAGATTTCAATATTGATCAATTCAGAATAATAGAAGAAAAGGAAATAGTATTTGATGAAAATAGACAAATAAAAATAGTTTCAGCACCAACATCTGGTGGTTCAGCATCGACTCCGGTAAACCAGCCAATTAAACAACAAAAATCAGAAAGTTTATTTAGTGAGAAAGATGAATACGATTATTTATTTGATGTATTTAATATTGGTGGTGGTGGTAGTGGTGTCAACTCAATAGTGATGGATAGAGATTTACCAGGTAGAGATTTATTAGTTGAGGGTCAGAAATATAGAGGTTATTTGTTATTTGATAGAAGTAATAAATTACAGAATCTATTTAAAAATTCAATTATGGCACACAGCTATGATTTGGGTGAAGAAAGAGATTTGTTTGAGTTTAAAGGTCAATCAAAAGCAACACCATTGGATCCAAAAAAAGCATACGAGTTATTAGAAAAAGCAGCAAATGAATTTAACAATCATCGTGCAATGTATCTATTAGGTCAAATGGAAGAGGTATGTAGATAAATAATTAAAATAGAATTTTTTTTAATAATTAATTATTAAAATATTAAATTTTTATTGAATTTTTTATTTAGATCGGTGAAGTAGATGGTATTATGAATTTTTCAAAAGCAGAAGAATGGTATTTAAAATCAGCTAGTTTAGGTAACTCTGATTCCCAACGTGCATTAGGTTTTATATATTCAACAGGTAAATTAGGATATATTGACGAAGCTAAAGCAATATTATATTATACATTTTCAGCAAAATCAGGAAATATTGTAGCTCAAATGGTTATGGCATATAGATATTTATACGGTCATGGAGTAGAGAAGAACTGCAAAAAAGCATCAGTATTGTATGAAAAAGTAGCAGCTAGAGTATCATCAGATTACGAGCTTAGAGGATTCGGGTATCAAATTCAAAGCCAAAGATTTTCGGATGAAAGAAAAAAGACACATGGTTACCAGGATGAAAATGATATTATTGACTATTTGAAATATTCATCAGATGAACCACATACAATGGGCCAATTGTATTTGGAGGGTAGTTTGGTTAACCAAGATTTTCAACAAGCTTTCGAGTATTACAAGAGAGCCGTCGAAATGGGAATTCCAGCAGGTTTCACTGGTTTGGGTTTTATGTATAATATGGGCTATGGCGTTGAACAAAACAACCGTACTGCATATGAATATTATTTAAAGGGTGCAGAATTAAAAGATAGGGATGCCAAATCAAATTTAGCAGAGTTTTATTTATTTGGTTTTGGAGGAGTCAAGCAAAATACAGCCAAGGCTTTGGAGTTGTTTATGGAGGTATCAGAAACCAAAAATGAACGTAAACCAGAGATACCCATATATCATGCCTCTGCAAATTTAAATTTAGGTAAAGCATATGCTTATGGTTTAGGTGGTGTAGTTATAGATAAACCAAAGGCATCAATATTCTTTAGTAAAGCCATTACTGTTGGCGAAATTTCATCACTATATCATTTGGCTAAACTCCACATTGAAAATGATGAGTCATCATGTAGTATGGCAACATTATACTTTAAAAAAGTAGCAGAAAAAGGTCCATGGGCAATAATATTAAGCAAGGCTCAAGAGTTATTTGAAGAGGATGACTATGAGCGTTCTTTATTACTAAGTGAAAAAGCATCTGAAATGGGTATTGAAATTGCTCAATTTAATTCAGCATGGATGTATAATAAAGGTTATGGTTTATCAAATTATTATGTTGATGGCACCACTAGTGATGACAATAGTCAAGATAGTGAAGGCTCTAGTAGTAGCAATAGCGAAGGCAAAGTACCAATTAATGAAAATTTTACACAGGAGTTTTGGAATCAGCAATCATTTAAAAATTATTACTACTCATCAGAACAACAAAACCCACTCTCACATATCAAAATTGGTGATTTCTTCTACTATGGTATTGGTGTCGAAAAAAGCTTTGAATCAGCAGCTGAAAGTTATAAAGTAGCAGCTAATTCCAATCAAGCAATGGCTCTTTACAATCTTGGTTACTTGTACCAATATGGCGAAGGTGTACCACAAGATTTCTTTTTAGCTAAACGTTATTATGATTTATCATTATCCTTTCAACCAAAAGGTTACTTCCCAATTTACATATCATTAATAGGTTTATTTTTCCATTATGTCTATTGTTTCATTTTATCAATCTTTGATCCAACTTATAAAATAAATACCACAAATAGTGATATATCAATACCAACACCCTCAAAACCACCACCATCATCATCAAACAACAACAATAACAATAACAACTATAATCCTATTAATGATAACTATACACCACACTTTGCCTTCAACGAGGAGTTTATAAAAACTATTGAGTCTTATTCAATTTTAATTTTTATAATTATTATAGGTTATTTAGTAATCAGAAGACAAAGAATAATTTTAAATCAACAAAGAGTAGAAAACAATTTAAATCGACCACGACCACAACCACGACCACATCCACAACCACAACACCAACCACATCCACAACCACAACACCAACCACATCCACAACCTCCACAACAAAACAATATAATTAACTAATATAAAATATATAATAAAAATGTTACATATAATAATTAATAATCGAAAAATCGAATAATCCAATAATTTAAGTATATTAAAAATTTTCTTTTTTTAGATAGTAAATAAATTTAAAAAAATTACAACCGATAAACAAAGTGTCGAAAGATGAAATTACATCATCAATTTTATCTTTTTTTTTTTTTATTTTTTTTTTATTTTTTTTTAATGGTTGCATTACCATTTCCATTTTTTTTTTTTATTTTTTTTTATTTTTTTTAATTTTTTTTTTTTTAAATTTTTAAAATTTTTTTTTTTGTTCATTTAAAATTTAATTTAATAAATAAATAAAAAAAATAAATATATAAATATATATATGATACAGTTTAAATAAAATTAAAGATTTAAATAAAAACAACGATAAAAATAACAATTTCATTTAAATAATGAAACTAAAATCAATACTATTTATAGTATTATTGATTTGTATATTAAATGTTTTATTAATAAATACTCAATCCACAGATAATAATAATAATAACAATAATAACAATAATAATAACAATAATAACAATAATAATAATAATAATAATAATAATAACAATAATAATAAGAATAATAATTATAATTATGATGATCATGATGATTCCAGCGACTATATAGATATGTACGAAAATAATGTTGTTGAGGAAAATGAAAAATTAATAACGTTAGAGCAGTTAAGTCCAGAAACTGTCGAGTTGTTTTTAAGATTAGTAGAAAGTGAAATCGGAAATAATAATAATAATAATAATAATAACAACAAAAAGAATAATAGAGATACTTCATCATTAGAAAAGCAATCGGTTGGTAATGAAGAACCTAATGGCGTTAAAGATAATGGTGATAATGAAAAATTAAAAATACAACAGAGAGTGCAACAAGTCCAACAAATTCAACAACAATTTCAGCAACAGGCTCAACAAATTCAACAACAGCAACAACAACAACCGCAACAAAAAGAAAAAGAAAAAATTAAAGTTAACTCAAATATAATGAACCAACAATTTTTAACAAACGTAAAGCAAAAATCAAAAAGTAAAATGTTTTTCGGTAAAGATGACTTTTTGTTTGGTGACAATGAAGATTATGGTTTAGGGTTTGGTATTGGCAATAATGACGATGAAGAAAAGAAGCCAGTACCAGATTATCAATTACCAGGTAGAGATTTACTAATTGAAGGTCAAAAACTAAGAGGTTTTTTTTTTATATAATAAGGTAACATCAGTATCACATAGATACAGCAATTCTATAATGTCATATAATTTCGATCAAAACGATGATAGGGATATATTTGAATTTTTGGGTAAATCAGTTAATGCAAATCATAATCCAATGAAAGCATACCGACTATTTGAAGAGTCTGCTGAAAGAGGAAATCACCGTGCAATGTACTTATTAGGTTTAATGAATGAGGTAAGTCATTTTTTCTATAAATAAAAAAAAATTGTTTAAATTATATATTAATCAAATTTTTATATTTTTTATTTAGATTGGTGAACATAATGGCATTATCGACTTTGAATTATCAGAAAAATGGTATTTAAAATCAGCTAGTTTAGGTAACTCTGATTCCCAACGTGCATTAGGTTTTATATATTCAACAGGTAAATTAGGATATATCGACGAAGCTAAAGCAACATTATATTATACATTTTCAGCAAAATCAGGAAATATTGTATCTCAAATGGTTATGGCATATAGATATTTATACGGTCATGGAGTAGAGAAGAACTGTTTGAAATCATCCATACTATATGAAAAAGTTGCAGCCAAAGTTGTTTCAGACTACGAGCTTAGAGGATTCGGATATCAAATTCACAGCCAAAGATTATCAGAGGACTATGAAAAGAAATCAGAGTTATATTCATCTGACGAAAGTGATATTTTAGAGTTTTTCAAATATTCAGCAGAAATGGGTGATATAAGTTCATTAATTACAATGGCAAAACTATCATTAGAGGGAACTATTATGAATCAAGATTTTAGAATGGCTATCAATTACTTTAAACAAGCTATTGAAGAGGATGAATATGGTTTGGCTTTAGCAGAAGGTTACTCTGGTTTGGGTTTCATGTACAATAAAGGCTATGGTGTTGAGCAAAATAATAAAACTGCTGTGCAATACTTTACCAAGGCTATGAACGAAGGTGACAGAGAGGCTAGATATCGTTTAGCCGAACTTTATCTCTATGGCTATGGCGTCGAGCAAAGTACAAGCAATGCATTAGAGTTGTTGTCTGGTGTTATTACAGAGGTTATTGTCCAAGATGAAGAGGGTGAGGTTAAGTTACCACCAATTTCCGAGGCACTTACTTTATTAGGTAAAATATATGCATATGGTTTGGGAGGTATACCAATCGATAGAGTTAAAGCATCACAATATCTTTCACAATCTGTAGCATTAGGTAGCGATGTTCAAGCTTATTACCACTTTTCAAAGATTCATTTAGAGAATGACGAATCATCATGTCCAATTGTAGTTCAATATTTGAAAAAGGTTGCAGAAAAAGGACCATGGGCAATGTTAATAACATCAGCACAAGATCTTTATGATGAGGGCAATACAAACCTTTCATTGTTATTAAATGAAAAAGCAGCTGAAATGGGAATTGAATTGGCACAGTTTAATGCAGCTTGGTTATACGACAAACGTTATGGACTTTCGCAATACTATAAATCTGATGAAGAGATTGAACGTATAGAAGAACAGGAATCACATTTAGACGATAGCGAAAAAACCACCATTTTTATCAACGACCTTTTTAATGACGATTTTTGGACACAACAGGCATTCCGTTTGTTTTACTATTCATCAGAGCAACATAATGCAATCTCTTACATTAAAATTGGTGACTATTTCTATTATGGTATTGGTATCGAAAAGAATTTAGAATCTGCAGCCAACAGCTATCAAGTCGCAGCTAATCTCAATCATCCACAAGCACTATTCAATCTTGGTTATCTCTATCAATTTGGTCAAGGTGTCCCACAAGATCTATTTTTAGCTAAACGTTATTACGATCTATCACTCTCTATCAAACCCGAAAATAATAAGCAAGGCTATGATGGATACTATGGTTACATTCCAATTTATTTATCATTAATTGGTTTACTATTCCATTTTATTTATTTATATTTATATTCATTCATTAATCCAAATATCTCAATCTCTTCATCAACAGCATCATCACCCATCGCAACAGCAACACAACAAATTTTAAATGCAGATACTCAAAAAATAGTTCAAGAAATTAGTGATATTAAACCAAAATCAAATTTAATCGATAGCTTTATTTTAAATGAAGATTTAATTCAAACCATTGAATCTTATATTATTATATTTTTTGTAATTGTTATTGGTTTTTTGGTTATAAGAAGACAAAGGTTAATTTTAAATCAAAGACAACAACCACCTCAACAATAATAAAAGTAATTTAAATAAAATATATAATATAATAAATAACAGTAATAATAAAAATAAAAATAAAATAATGATACTATAATCATCATCATCATTATCATCACAATAAAATTTATAAAATAAAATTATTTAGGTGAAATAATTTATCACATTATTTATTTATTTATTAATATTATTAAATACTAATAACAACATACTTTTTTATTTTTATAAAACCATCATATCATGGTTTTTAAAATTAAAAACAATTGATAAAAATACTTTAGCAAATTTATATTTTGAGTATTATCATGATTAATACAAAAAATTTAAAAAAAAAACAATATAGTTAAAAATCATCATTTCAATTTAGATATATTTATTTTAAAATTAATATTTTAAAATTAAATTAATTTATATTTTTAAAAAAATTCTTTTTTTTTATTTCTTTTTCTATTTTTATAAATTTATATTTCAATCAAAATTATTAAAATAGTTGTTGTTATCATTCAAACTACAAATAATTTAATCAAACCCCTTTTGTGTTTAAATATTTTTTTTTTATTTTTATTTTTTTTATATCATTTAAAAAATAATTTTTTGTATTTTTATCTAAGCACCACTGTTTTTAAAATGATTCTATCAAACTTAAATAAAATATAATTAAAAAAGATAATTTTTTTTTAAATCATTTTTTTAAATAAAATAAAATAAAATATAAGAACAAATATATAAAATTATTAAATGTTTTTTTAAAAAGTATGAATAACAAAAAAAAAAGAAAAAATAGCATATCTTTATTTAAATATATTTAAATAAATCATTAACAAAATACAATTATATATATATAAAATATAAATATAGATAAAGAAATAAAATAAATAAAATAAATATTTTATTTATAATTTTATAAAAAAAATAAATAAATTTAATAAATTATCTTTTTAATAATATATAAAATGTTAAAAATATTGACGGTAATATTATTAGGATTTTTATTATTAAAATTAATAAAATGCGAACTTATAAAAGAGCTGATTAAAATTGATGAATATGACGACGTTGAGTCAAAGGGAAATATAATTTATAAAACCAATTCAAATAATTATGTTATATTTTCATCATTTGAAGGAAATCTATATAAAATGCAAGTCAATAGTAGGGAAATTGAAGTAAAAAGAAATTTCAAAAGTTTGTTTTATTTAAATCAAAAGAGTAGTGGTTTTTTTGATGAAGTTAATAATATATTTTATTTAGCAACTCAAACAAATTATACTTCCATTCAAATATCAGTTTTTAATTCTTTAAATTTAAACTATATAAATTCCTTTTTTGTAAGTTTATTTTATTAAACACAACAAATCCACACCCCAACTCCCCATAAAAAAAGCAAGTAAATTAATTTAAAAAATAAATATATTTTTTATAGATTTATAATGAAATGTTACCTTTTATTGATAATTCCCTCACACTTGATGATAATAATCAAATAATATTAATCACTCCCAATAATATAATCAAAATTGAAATGGAAATAAATTATTGAAATAAAGGCCAAGCTAAATTAAAAATAATTAAAAAGCAATTATTGGCATCAGAATGTATAATCCCCAGTTCCAGTGTTTTAAATTTAGATAGAAA